GGAATGATACATTCGAAAAATTTAGCAATAACATCGTAACAATTACAACACAAACTTGTCGTCCACTTGCTACTTACAAACTCACGAATTCGTCGTCCTCCTTGTAGCCTCATCCGATAAACATTCTCTTTCAACACTGATACCATACTCATTACGGTTACGGTACCCGTAACGGTGCCGGTGCCGGTAACGGTACCGGTACCGGTACCGGTAACGGTGCCGTCACTGTTACAGAAACACGGCAACCTGTCATAAGCCAACGAATCTGGAGACGAACGCTGAAAAAAACCCGAATTGTTTTTCCTGCTACGGTGGTCCCTGCAGGTATAAGGGTAGGGTTAGAATACAAATAAGTCAGCAAAAACTAAATAAGTATCCTAGTAGGATGGTGCTTTAAAAACCAGTTAAAGCTATTTACATGCATCCTAGTAGGGGGATCTGCTTCTACCAGGAAAAACTCTAAAGCCAGCGAACGCTATAAAACTAGGATTCTAGCTAGCTAGGGGTATCTGCTTCTAGCTTGCTATGGGAATCTGCTTCTAGCTAGGGGGGATCTGCTTCTAGCTAGCTAAGCGCAAGTTAAGCACTAGCTAAGCACTAGAGGTATCTGCTTCTAGCTAGCTAGCTAATAGGGGTACCGGTATCTGCTTCTACACTGAAACCTTTCTGCTGAGGTTACACAGCTCCGCTGGCTTATTTTATGCATGATAGCAAAGTCGCCCATCTCATGTCTAAAAGTACAAGCTGGCTCGCATCGTGCTTGCTGCCTGGCGCCATACCGGTACCCCAAGAAGATGGATAGTTGAGTTGGGGCAGCGAGCGAGTCGGCAGAGCGATCACGATGTTTGGTACGTGTTCCTGCCAAGCGTTTGTGGCTACCGCACACGAGAACGACCATTCCTTGCTCCCTGGTGATTCGAGGCAGACTCCTTGGCTAGGTAGTCTACGTAACCTGCATCGGAACCCAAAGGGCTGTTTTGTTTGATCCATTTCGATTTGATCATCATATTGCAACACCACACAGCAGCCGCACTGCACCATCCATAGTTCTGTAACTCCCCTCCGGTGCGATCCTTCAGTCGCGAGGCCGGTGCTTCCCGTCGCGTGGGTGCCACTGCCCTCCTTATACATCCAATGCACGGCCGAAGTCGCTGTTGATGCGGTAGACTCGACTCGTTGGGCCATCACCACGGTGTACGGTACCAATCGGGCCACAGTGGTTTTTCGCAGTCGTCGCGGCCCGTATGACGAGCACCCCGCTGTGCCAGTGCCGAATGCGAGATGATTCGGAATGTTTCCATCCATCCAAATTGCTGTTCCATTTCATCCATCCAAGGGGCGTCAATGCCTTTTCGGCTTTCGTCGTCGAATCCCTCTCAATGATCCTTTCCCGCTCCAACATGCATGCACCAGTAAACCACGGCGGTGGGTGCGTGGACTGGGGCATATTAAAGTGGCAACAGTACTAAGACGAGGTTTGCAAGAGTTGAAAAAATCCATCGGGGTATGCATTGGCGAGTACCGGTAACGTACGTAAATGACCAGTTGCTGATGTAGCTAGGCATTCGTTGAAAGGGTGTGATCAAGAGTGCCGCAGGGGGGCATTGCTGAAATGTGTCATTGGTTTGGCAGCAAGCAGCGCAATGTTGCTCGGCCAGGGGATGAAGGACTTCGAAAGCGGCACGCAAATCTTTGGAGTGAGGACACACAGACACAATCTACTTCGTCTGCTCCCGACAAGTGAGTGCGTGGCAAAAAGGCCATTCATCCAATTGTGACCGCCTTGCCCTGATCCTCCCTGGAAGAATATCAGGAATCGAATCGCGCGTCATTGTCGATACGGTAGTTGTGGTGCCTTGCGCTCGTTCGTGGTACAAAAGCAAAGGAGACGAGACCTCGATGCGTCTTGGACAGCCACCAAAAGACTCTCCGTGCCTATTCTTCCGACTATTACTATCGCAGCCCGAATTCGTCTCGTGTCGTAAAAAAGTGACCGCGTGCTAGCTACCGGTAGCTAGCTAGAAAGCATGTACCATACCGGGTACATCCGGCTTTCCAGCCAGAAAAATCACCGATTAGACTCTCGAGGATCGGAAAGAAACCGCTGGGAATGCCACGGCCATCGGTGTTTCACCTCCTGCCAAGTATTGTAGCTTAAGCCTGGCCCCGGCTGGCTGCCGTAGATAAATTCCCTACTCTAACCCCCCCCCCATCCCTGTACCGGTAGCACAGGGATGGACTGGATTCGATTCGATTCGATTGAATCGAATCATTCGGCAGTGGCATCTCACCTCACAATCTCGCAGTGCAAGCTACCGGTAGCTACCAGGTACCATTACTAGTAGAATTCATGTAGTACCTTTATGTCTTTATTTTGTTCAGCGCAGCATTGTGTTTTAAAAGCACGGAACTGACAACCGTGTCCAGTACTTATGGTTTCTTTGATTCTGATCGTGCCGGTACCGAGCTCTGAGTAAACTTTGCTTAATTCATCAGTCACACTCTTCTCTTGTTGGCGTCTTGTGTTCTCTGGGAATGTCTGTGTACCGGTAGACGAGTAAGCTCTACCGTACTCTAAGTTGCCCTGTACATTGACACTTATACCACCATGCATGCAGTACCTGATGAGCTGTACCAGGTACCTGATACATGTACGGGACCAGCACTGAGAAAAGCCTCCCGGAAGACAAATTGGGAAACGTAGTTGAGGTGAATACTGCTAAAGAAGCTGGTAAAGAAATAGTATCTTTACCGCATCTACCTTCTCGAGCTGTCTTCCGGAACGTTGGGACAGAAGGGATTCGTGTTCGAAACATACAGCAGCACAGCATTTTCCTGCTCCAAGCCATCGAGCTCGCTATGGACCCTCTTCAGCTTCCGCCACTCCAAACTCCAAACTCCTCATATAAAAAAAAATGGCATCCACAATCAAACCCAACAGTCCTGTACACCATAGCATGAAGTCCTATTCCACCATCCTCGAGGCCCTCAGCCACCATGCCAAGAAAACCCCTGACCAGGTTGTCTTCACCTGGGTTGACATCAAGTGTGTGGAACAAAACAAGATGACATTCAAACAAGTCGAAGACCGATCCAATGCAGTGGCTGCTCGACTCCTCAAACTGGGATGTGAAAAGGGAGACCGTGTCATGATTGCCTATCCCTTTGGCCTCGAGTTCTTGGCTGGCATGTTGGTGCCATGAAGATTGGAGTCGTCCCCTGCTCCATTTATCCGCCCAACCCCAATCAGCTCAAAACAGATATGCCAAAGTTCCGTAGATTTGCCGAGGATGCGGAGCCAAGTATGCTCTCACATCAAACACGTTTGCTGCTGGTATGACGGCTGCTAGTATCCTTTACAAGACTGGCGTTAAGTGGATCGGAACCGACAAGCTAACAACCAAGAAGAGAAACTTCAGTAGCAAGCCCAAAGGATACGAGACCTTTATGGGAGAACCCGAAGATATCTGCTTCATCCAGTACACCTCTGGCAGTACTGGTCGTCCCAAAGGAGTCATGATCAGTCACAAAAATCTTGCAGAAAATTGCATTGCTATTTCTGCCATGTCTGTGTAAATGCTTCCAATGCTGCTCTACACTGGCAGCCTTGTGGGTTCCACAATACCATGGTAAGCTCAAATTTGTTGTTCCCAATACTGAATTTTTAAAAGCCACAATCCTCTCATTTCTGTATTTTCCTTTTTGCTCCGATAGACATGGGACTGTGGCAGGCTTCATGACTACCCTCTATGCTGGAACTTCCCTTGTCATGGCGTCACCCCTGGATTTTGTGGTCAATCCGCTGCTTTGGACTGACATGGTGGAGCACTATCAGGCAAACCTTACCTGTGCCCCAAACTTTGCCTATGCCCTGCTCCTCAAACGTTTGGAGCAGGCCAATAGGAAAGCCAACTGGAGTTGTGTCAAGCGCGCCATGTTTGGGGGCGAACCAGCCCAAAGCCATGTTGTGGAAGCAGCAGCGAAGACCCTCTCCATCAAACCTGAGCATGTGTACAACATCTATGGACTTGCTGAGTCTGTGGTCTTCCTCACTGGTGGCTCTGCGTACCCTGACTCTGAGGGGCTTGTCTGCTGTGGAGAAATAGACTCCCCAACCCTCAAGCTCCGAATCGTTGAGGATGGAAACGAGGTTGTGGATGGACAGGTTGGGAGTATCTGGGCCCAGTCACCCCGTGTTGCTGCTGGATACTATGGCCAGTCTGAGCTAACCACCACTACATTTTCCAATGCTTTGCCCAAATATGATGGGACCTGGCTTGACACTGGTGATTTGGGCAAGATTGTGGATGGGCAGCTCTATGTCACTGGAAGAGTCAAAGATGTCATCATTATCAATGGCAAAAACTACTATCCAACTGATGTGGAGCTCTCTATTGATGATATCTTTGGTGATGTTATCCGTCCAGGCAGGACACCGCTTCCAGCATGGGGATGACAGCGTCGGTATCACTGTCGAAGGCCGAAAAGGTTTGACAAGCGAAATGAAGATTTGGCGTCAAATAGCCAACCATGTTCACAATTCCATGGGCTGTTTGCCTCAGAGGTTGTTGTCCTCAAGCTTGGTGTGACACCGAAGACCACATCTGGCAAGCTTAAGAGGAGTGAGATCAGGCAGACAACAATTATTAGTGCTTGAAAGACTCTTCTGTGTTGTTGCAGTTTCAGCGGGTGGAACCAATTGTCCCCCTTCTGAAAAAGAAAAGAGCATCTTTTCTTGAAAACACTTTTTCAAATCTTGGTATTGCCAGCAGTGAGTTTTACCTATCTGAAGGAACCCAACGCGAAATCACGCGTCGTTCAATGAGCTCGGTTGACTTCAAATCGATGAGAAAAATGATTGATACTATTGATGAACCTGAACTCTTTGAGGAACATGAATCTGAGAGCACAGATGACCACTTCTTGTCCAAGTTCAACCATTTTATATCTTCTATCTTTGGGTCAGAGGTAGACACCTTGAAGACATGGGCTGAAAATGGACTCTCATCTCTAAAGAGCGCAGAGCTCAGGAACAAGGTGGAGGAAGAATTCCAAGTTACACTGCCAGCCAACTTTGAACAACTCTACCCAACACCTAGCGCGCTCTCAATCTTCTTGGAGGCATCAAAAGGCCAGAGCTTTCCTAAGCATGATGTTGGTTACCGTGAGTTTGAGTGGAATACGTCAAGATCAAAGTGCAGCAAGCCAGTGCTCAGCATGCTCCAGGGCCTTGCATCAATTGTGATATTTTTACTACTGTTGGTTTCACTTGCCCCATCCTATGTTCTCGGCACATGGGTTTTTGACCATTGTGGCTCTGCCACAGGTTCCGAGTGTCGTGGTCCAGTCTTTTGGATTCTTCTGCCCATGGCCTTTCCTATGTTCATCCTATCCTTCTCATTGGTTGTGGTGTTCTGCAAGTATGTGGTTATTGGGACATATCAGCCTCGGCAGTTTGAGATATTGTCATGGGCCTACCTTCACTGGTGGTTTATGGACAGGCTCATGGAAGTCTGGGAGTCACTGGCTGGGCACTTCTTTGTTGAGACAAGATACATTTGGATCTTCTACTGGCTTCTTGGAGCAGACTTGGCTTGGTCAGCCAAAATCGAGTCATACATCCGTGAATTCGACCTGGTCAAAGTGGGAAGAAATGCCACTATTGGGCACCCTCTAAAGTGCAGAAAGTTCTCTCAATCCAACGAAGAATGTCCCAAGATGAAGTTCCGTCCCATTGTTGTTGGAAACAACTGCAAGATCTCTGGGATGGTTAGCCCTGGTGCAATCATTGGCGATGGCAGCAAGGTGGAGAAATTGACTGTTGTAGAAGAGGGTGCTGACCTACCAAATGACGTCCTTGCCAAGGGAATTCCTGCCTATAGCTCTGGGACCCACCATTATTCAGAACTCATCCAAAAGGAGGAAACAGCTTTGGGCGCCTTCAAGATTGTTTGGACTCTTATTGAAGCTTACCACTTTTTCGCACTTTCCTTCCTGGTCCATACATTTCTCAATCAAATCTTGCCATCATGGCGCTATGCAACTATTCTGCATTGGATCTTGCTTGTTCCAACCTCCTCTTTCCTTGCCCTTCTTACAAGCATGGCTCTCAAATGGCTTCTGATTGGTAAACGAGATCCATCAGATGACTATGATGGTTCACTGTATCGCCGAGCAACCAATTGGGCATGTGATTTCCATTTCCGTGTAGCTTGCTGGACTCTTACTCCCTTCTTTGGCCAATCCAGACTCTGGAACGCTGTCCTCTTCCTCCACGGCCTTGACGTTGACATGGAATCCGGCCTCAGCAACCCATACCTCATCTTCTACCCTTCCAAAGTTGACTTTGTTAAGATTCGAAAGTCGTTTGTTGCTACAATCTCTCTTGACTTTGGCAAGAAAGGCGACTCTAAGATTGAGATTATCAACAGCAGTGTTGGCTACAATGTCACTCTACATGCCGGTGTCAAGATTATGCGGTCTGCAATTCCCCCAAGATCAAATGTTTCCGACAGTGTCTATGATTTGAACCAATCTGGAGAAACATGGAAGCCTGCTTTGATTATGGACTTGTTCCTTCCAGAGGTGGTTCAAGTGCTCTTAAATTTGGTGATATTTGCCTCCCTCATTCCTGCCTATGAGATTGGCCTTGCTGCCACAAGGAGTTCTTCTGTTTCCGTTTCCATTACTACATGCGGCATTGTGGCAGCCTTTGTTCTTCAATTGTTCCTATGGATACTTTTATCCCGAGTTGTTGAAAAGGCCTTGTTGATTCTGCCAAGGTATGCTCAACAGAGTTTCTTTGGAGTTTACATCAACCATGTCTGGATTTTTGGAGTAGGAAACTGGCTTGTTTTCCTTCTCTATGGAACTCCAATGTTTGCGTACTATGCTCGCATGATGGGTGCAACAGTTGAAGGGGAGCTTTGGTACTTTGGCAATGCTCTCTATGAGTATGAGTGCTTGCATTTCAAGGGAATCACAGTTGTTGATAGTGCCCACGTGAGTGGACACTACATTGATCGCAATGGGCTTACTATTGATGACACCTATGTGTCTGGGTTGTTGCATCCAGGTTGTTATGCTTCTGCTGGGTCAGTGGTATCTGCTGCGGAGCATGGTCCATGGAAAGTGTTCTTAAGAAGTGATATGAGTGCCAAGGATTCAACGAATCTGCCCAGTGATTCAACTTCCAACAATGTTGATGCGTCGGACTTAGTTTAATTCCTGTTCATGAATCATGTCTAGTTGTATGTTAGTCCATGAATTTGCCTCTTTTCTAGAGTAGCACTGTCCTTGCTAGCCAGCTAGTGTCCATGTCATCGAGAATTGCTGGACGGTAAGGATTCCTCTTTGAGGGCTATGGATGCTGAGCAACAAATTACATTTACCGTAGCCTGCAAAAGAAAGGAACCCTATCCGAGCTAGTGTCCCGAGTCACTACCCTTCTTCAGAACGCTTGATCCAGGGATACCTCGATCGCTAGGCAGCGTTGAGTACCACACGATGTCCTGTGCATGGTACGAGACTGCTCGCCAAGAACCTGACAACAGTGCCGCCTTCTGTATGATTGTGAGTTGGAATTGTGATTGTGCGGTGGGTGAATTGTGGTTTTTCGTTGCCGTTTGCCACGGAGAAGTGCGTGGCTCACCGATGCGTACCGGTACTGTTCCTTGACGGTTTTCTTGGCTTGCTGAAGTAGCGGTATTGTAAGGCGCTTCTGTTCGAGGCAACACGATCGAAACCCTCCACGAAAATTCGCTCGAAGTTTAGTGAGGGTGACTGAACTTGATTCATCAACTTTGCATACCTGGTATTGCCGCCGAGAAAGAAGACTCGACTCCATCGGCAGCCGACGAGTAAAGTGGAACTCTATCGGCAACCTTCACCCTTGTTGTGTCGCTGAACTGCAGGTCGCACTCCTGCGGGAAAGTGCGAACAGTCGACGGGCTTTGATCTCCATCGACAACAGAGTTCCATCGGCACGGGCAATTGATTGACAATAACTACCAGTACATGTATCTTTGTATCACCGATGAGGAGTGCCCGTCGGTGAGCCGTCGCGAGCATGCAGGCTCCATCCGCAGTCAAAGATCCAGCTAAGATCTCCATGGACATCATACGTCCATCGGAAGATGCCGAAGGCGACCTTTGATTCGATTCATTGCAAGCCAACCAGCGTAGTTAGATCTCCATTAGAACCGACGAGCAAAAGGCTCCATTGGATTGCACCGACGACTACACGCATATTTACCAACGAGTGAAGTGTAGTAGCTCCATTGGCGACCAGTTCCATTAGAAAATGACTACGGTACTACCAGTACAACTCTCTTTGAGTGAGTCTTCGAGCAGAAACTCCATCGACACCTTCTTTCCCTTCATTGCTGAATTTTAGGAGTGTAACCGACCTGCAAGAAAGAGCATTGAACCGACGAGTGAAGAGACAGCCGTGCTGACCTTCCATACGTTACAATCGTCGCGGGCACTAGCCAGACTTCTATAGTACTGTACAGACCCGTATCTCAATTGCCCTTGTGAAAGCTACCCATTTATGTCTCCGTGGATCTCGCAAAGCCAAACCCTTTTGCCCCCGTAACGGTCCTCACTTTCTTGCCCCTGATCCCACAGCACCTAGTCCTGAATTTCGCCTGTTCTTTGCTTTAAAAGCCTGGCCCCGGCTGGCTTCCGTAGATAATTACCCTACTCTAAACCCCCCTTATCTGTACCGTGAACTACTAGCCTCCATTGCATGGTTGTCCTCCCCTGGTTTGCTCCTTTGATGTCTTGATGCGCACTTCCGACTCCACGACAACGGAGTCGTACAGTACTGTACCACAGCTGGAGAGTACAGTATGCTATAAGTTGCTTACAATTGGCAACTGCAGGATCGTGCTACGTCAAAAGCCACAACGTTACCCTACTAGTCCCCATTGGCGCTCCGCTACCTGGTATCTAGCTAGCGAGCTACACTGTACTACCGGTAGTAACTAGATCGCGCTTCAAACATTCCTTCTATTACCATTAACTTAGGAATTACAAAGTCCCCGGAGGGATTGATGGCCTCTTGCTAGGGCTATCCTTCTATTACCAGGCACCATGCGCCATCGCCCACGACAACGGAGTCGAGTCGAGTCGAGTCGTACGAACACGAGCACTATGGTACACCATGCACCGAAAGAGCACCAGTGGCAACAACATCAAACGGTGGGGCAAACGAAGAGGTCGACTCGACTCCATATATCTTTCGTGATGGTCTCCTTAACGCTACAGTACAGATGGCTTGTGATTGATATGCTGGCTTATACCGTATCAGCTTCCACAAATCATAGTCGAGCCCTTGTGGCTTTGCAGTGGCTTTGCAGTGGCAGGTATGGTCAGCTGTGGCCGTCGTCGATGGACACAACTTGAAAGGAGACTCACGTCCAAACGTACCGTGTGGTACTTGCATCGTACCGGTAGCGCACACTTCTCGCCGATTACGGTACTGTATTGCCTTCCATCATGCGGCAAGTCTGGAGCAATTTCCTTGACAAATGCCAGCGACGCTTGATAGCACCTATGGCGTTGTTTGTTTTTGTTGGTACAGTACGATTTTTAAGTATGTATCCTAGCTAGATATCGCATTATCGCTCCTTCAGTCGACACCATGCATGAGCAGCCGACACGTGGGCTCCGTGGCAAAAAGCAACCATGGCGCCACGGTCGTTCTTCGAGGCTGTGGGGTTATCAAGAATTTTTTAACGAACTCGTGCAGTGTACAATCTAGGCACTTCACCTACCGGAAGAGCGAGTCGAAATACCAGAGGCAACCGCCGCCTTCACAGCAAAATCCGCAGCTGCTCAATGAAGATTCTTTGTTGCTGTTGTGTTGTCGCTCAGCTCGATCTGTCATTGTCGAAGCCAAAAGCCAACCACACTCAGAAACAGCAGGCAGCCTCCCGTCACTTTGATCTTTTTGAGTTGTCAAAATACCGGTAAGGATAGCTTTTTAAGGACATGCATACGAGCCCCTTGAACCTTGAAGTCTTGAAGTGAGTTTATGGGGGGGTTAGGCACCAGCGCGGGGGAGGGAAAAGAAAAAGAAAGGGAGAGGGTTATCAGTTGGATTCCCAATTCCGCCGTTGAGAGCCTGCAGGGCCTGACGTTTGTCATGAAAGTCATAACGGATCCCACCTTACTTATTAAAATGAGGGGAGTAGGCAATGACCGGTCATCTCCCCTCTCTTTGCGACGTCTGAAGAACATGTAAGTGTCACCAAAATACGTGTGTATACGTCACTACAGAGGTTCGTTGATCTCAGATTCAAATCTACCCAACGCCAGCCATCTCATTGTTTTTTTTCTGTTCCCAATCCTTGGCTGACACCGAACCCTCCCACAAATCGAAATTTTGACGTCCGAGTCGATCGCTCCGTCAACAACATCGCTCTGCTGGTGTAAGAACAACAACAAGAAGGACGCGACAATGAGGATCGCCACTAGTCCATGGTTCTCCAAGTGGCTGCTACGTCAAGCTTACCCATTCAATGAGCTGCGAGTTACAAGGCATGGATTCAATTGCAAGTATGTCATTTGTGGGTACAACAGTGAGGAGGAGAACATCTGTTTGCCAACAACAACCATGGAAGTGACCATTCTTGAGGAGATGATGTTGCAAGGAGCATGCAGGCCTCTTCCTCCTGATATGACAGGCATCATGGACTACATGTTTGAGTGGGGTCTTCAGGATAGTCCACAATGGTACCATGCTGTTGTTGCTACCCTTTCTGAAATGTTGGAGGGTCCACATCCCTGTGAAAGGAAGGACATCTTCATTGAGTGCATCTATTGGTTAGCAAAGGATAGGATTACTGAGGACTATGACTTGGGCTCCATTGAAGGCCAGATCTGCATGGATGCTTGGCATGGGTATTGCATCCAGTGGTACCAACCCAAATTTTCCTTCAAGGAATATTGTATGATGAATCATGAGTTTGTAATGTTGTGCATGGAAGACCTTCAGTATCATGGAGGCCTGCGACCCCAATTTGCTATGTTTATTGGTGGCAACAACGAACAAGGACTTCAACAAGGACTTTGAATGTAAGTTACTAATGACTACATTAGAAAAGAATTTGTCGCATCTAATAATATTTTCTTATTCTTATGCAGTGTATCCATGAAATCTAGATTGGCAATTTCGATCATGAGGTGGTCTTCCTCTCCTATGAGTCAACCAATGGCAGTATTTGTGACAGCAGCCATTCGGTGGACGTGGCTGGAAAGGAGATGGCAGTATGGGTTGGAATTGCCGCATTTGCATGGCAAGTTGCATCATTTGAATTTGTTGTTGTTGCTGGTATAGAATCAAATTACCAACATAAGCATTTCTTGTTTGTGGCACTACAGGTGGTGGTGGTGGAGGAGGTGGCGGCGGCGGCGGTGGAACCATTACTGGTGGAGTCGGTGGATCGATTGCTGGTGGATTTGGTGCCTCGATTGCTGGTGGACTCGGCGGTGCTCCAGTGCAAGCTGCACAAAAACAACAATCATTTGGTGCATACTTCTGCCTTTGTGGTTTGAATGAAACAATGAACTCTGAAAAGAACCTCTCTCCAGTATCATGTGGCAGTGGCTCTGCATTTGGAAATGGCTCATCCACACCCACAGCCAGTGCCAGCTCATTGAGGTAAGCCAACTCTGAATGGTTCCAGTATGGAACAACCTTTTCCCATCCAGCTGGAATTGACCTCCTCTCTGCCAGACTGATTCTTGACAGGAAGGCTCTCTTGTGTCTAATCTTGAGGTTGTATCTTGCAGTTCCAGCCAGGTTGAGTGCATCAGCAAGGCTTCTTCTCATTCCACTATTGCCAAAGTGAGCAAACTTGTCGTGGAAGCTTTAACTTGGATTCTCCTCTCCTTGATAGGTACTCTGGGAGGTTGTGCTTGGAATTGGGTGATGGTAGGATGGTGTCATACATGTCTTCCAGTGCCAGGGGATCAGCCAGTGAGCGCTTTGTCAACACAGTTCTCTACTGCTGGCTTGGTATCAGAAGTGAACAAGGTATAGTTCTTGTCTGGATCAGTCGCCCTGTCCTGGCTGGCTACCATCCTGGCGTCACCTTGTACTGCAGAACCACTGCTGCAACTCTGCCTCATTGTCTCTGTTCCTCATCTGCTTCCTTAGTATTTGGAGTACTAGCTCTGAAGACCTTGGAAGCTTGCATATCAGAGATCTCAGCCATGGAGTAGTGCTTGCCATTGAGGACAAGAGCCATGTTTCAAGCATGGAGGACCTTCTCATAGTCATCTGGTGAGTACTCATAGAGGCAATCCAAGAGGTTCCCATTGCTTGAAAGTAATCAATTGACCCTTCCTCAAAGTTGAAGAATCCTTTTCTCATAATGGAACAGGCCAAGTCTTCCCTCGATACTGGAAAGAGCAGCTCCCAATAGTCATCCTTGTGGGGCCAGGTGTCGCTGTACATGGCAGCTGGATTGAAGTTGCTCCTCCTTGCTAGCTGCATGGCTGCATGGGAGAAGTGGATGATCTTGGTGGTGGGAACCAGAACTGCAGACGCAATCTCTCCAGTGTCAGTAGCAGCATCCCAAACAGCAGCAGCACCAAGACTCCTGCTGTAGTTCTTGATCACCTGGAATGTATGGTCTTGGCAGAAGATTCCTTTGTTGCATTTGACACTTTGGATCTCTCTTGTGTGCCTTTGGTTGTCACTGATCCTCCATGGATTCCTGTTTGAAGCACAAGCAGCATCATAGATGTCACGGATGGTGTCACCAAGAGGAGGAAACTGTCTGATGTAAGTGCCATCCTTTTGAAGAAAGGGATCAGGATCAGTGGCGCTTCCTTGCCAGTATGAGAAGTATGACATCATGGCTCTAAGATACTCTCTGTTGATTGCATTGTAGATGAGGCGGCTGCATAGGTCTCCATTTCCATAGGTTAACATGATAGAATCGAATACTTCTGTTGCTGTTCGCTCCAAATGACAAGCCTTGTTAGGTAGAGCATACTTGGATTCCACTGGATAGAGCAATGAAGCATGGTCTGGGATCGAGACCAGCACTTCTGCAGAGTTGGCATCGAATCTTCTGTTGCAGCTTCCACAAACCATGGACATGACCATACACCAAGAAGGAGGACCAGTGATGCCAAAGATAGGGAACAACGTCTTGTTGTGTGACCAGTTTGTCCTTGTATTCTTGAGTTGGCCAGAGCATCTTCCATCGGGACAAGGTACTGTAATTCCACATCGATTCCAGTCCACGAGGAGGAGTTTCTGGCCAACAATGGAGTGGTAGTGTGGAGATTTGAATTGCTCCTCTGTGGAGGGAACTGTCATGGTGAGTCCTTCGAAGTGTTGTCTGAATACCTCCTGATTCTTAGGCCGAATAATGAATTCTGACACTACTTGTGCCATTGCTAGCATTGCCAGTGGTGCTCCTTTGGTCTTGTGTTGTTCCACAAAGACAGTATCATTTACAAGAGCGGTTACCTTTTGACAAAGAGCCACTGGAGTTGTGTTGGTTGTGGATTTCTTCTGTTGCCGGCTCTGATTTGGTTTGGCTGTGTTTGTTCTAGCAGCAAAGAAGGCGTCTCCATTCTCCTTTGTTGAGTGCTTCCAGCTTCCTCTCTCATTCAGTGGAAGAGGAGCACTGAAATGCCTTGTAAGTCTTCTGCTCTCTCTGATGGTTTCCATTGTCAGCTCATTCAAATCTCCTCTTCCTCTTGTCACTGTATTCTTAATACAGAGAACGTGGTGTGATCTTTTTGGGACTCTGAAACCAAGATGTCTGGCCTTACAGATGACACACTTCTTCAATGGATCAAAGACTTCTGCTACCTCTCCTCCCAGTGTTGTTTGGGGTCCTTCTTCTCTGGCTCTCGTGGATCTGTTGTTGTTGTTGTTGGAGGCGAGTTGGTGGGCTCTCTTCTGCTGGGAATTCCTCTGTTGACTTTGGCAGCCCATCCCTTCATTTTGTGTTGTTGTTGCTGCTGCTGTTGGTGGCTCCATGATGCTCTCTGCTGCTGCTGTTGGTGGCTTTTTGGCCAAGATAATGACTGTCGAGTGGCCAACCGGTGGTTCTCCGGTGGTTCTCCGGTGGTTGATGTCATTGTCGACATCGGAAGAAGAGGAATCCTTCTTTCGGTTTTCGAAAAAGAAGAAAGACGTAATTTGGTAGCACACTAGTACGTAAACTGAGTAAACTGCATGTTAAGTGATTTAAATGTTTTTCGTTAAATATTGCTGACATATACATTGTTCTTCGGTACTCGTTAGCCAATCAGATCACTGCCTTCCACCCCTTTCTCGCCCAAGTTGGAAGCAGCTTGCATTCGTGGTACCAGTTCCGGTGTTCGCTGCTTTCAGCCAGATGACAGTTTGTAAGCATGATAGTATTTAAAGGCTGTGCTTCCTCTATTCATGGGTGCTCCACAACAATATTCCTTTTTGATCACTTGATTCGATTCATCAAACACACATGAGCACAGCCGCTTGTCTCGACGGCTATGTCTTTTCCACCAGGATCGCTGTAGTCAATACCAGTGGTACATTCAGTGTAACAACGTATTTAAGCAGTTCGCTTGAAGCATTTTCAATTGATTTAACACTCTTTGAACACAACAATTCGTTTGGTGAAGAATATTACTCAAGAGTACTACTGTAATACCGAGTATACTAATTATTGGTTGTTTCAGTCAGGGTGTGAGAACCAGATAGATTTTGAACTGGTTAGGTTATAGGTTACAGCAACCAGATAGAAAATTCTATCTGGTTTGGTTATAGGTTACCAACCAGATACAGTAATTCTATCAGGTTAGGTTACAGGTTAGGTTATAGGTTACACAAATGGTTACGAAACTACCTATCTGGTTACCAAACATGACCCGCCCAAGCTGGCTGCCTAATCATCCTGGCGGGCCTCCTCCAACGCGTTCATGGCCTCCAACACTCCCAACTCCAGCATATCCTGAAAGGCTGGGGAAATCTCTTCTTCGGGTTTCTTCTTAGCAATTCTCTCCAACAGGTCTGTAGTCCGACGTTTGGCTTTATCCAGCTGATCCTTCCGCAAGTGGAAGCGGTGTTCGTCCATGAACTTGGAATTCTTGTAGGTCAGGACCTTCATTTGGAGCTGCTTGAGAATCCCATCCATCCATGTAGCGGCACTGAAAGTCCGCTCTTGGTGCCCATTGCTCTCTGGGACGGCAAGAATACAGATTGCCACGGGATAGATAAGAGGGAAAGCACTCTTCCCATGTGTCTCCCACCACTCCAACAAGTCAAAATGCTTGGCCACCAGCTCCACATTCTCCACCCATTCTATCTTGTTTGTGCCAATCGTGCTGATAATTGGGAGCGGGACGTGTCTCTTCTGTTTTGTCAAGATTGCCACCAGCTTGAAGTCTTGACCGAACCACGCGTCAATGGTGGCAGCCACCCGATCAACCCCTTCTTCTTGTGGGGCTTCCTCTTCAGGCTCCGCACTCATCTGCAGATGCCTCCTTTTCTCTGCCTTGGTGAGCAATGGATCGTCAGCATTGAACGTTACTGCCCTCTCCACAGCAGCACGTTGCTGTGGTCTCTTTAGAAGCTCGCTGCAGACGTCCTTGATCGCATCTTTCAAGTATCGCTTGGCGAGAGTATCAACATTGCACGCAAGTCCCCGCAACTCCCCGTCTACCTCTTCAACATCCTTGGAGAGATCAAGTAGCTCTGGTATCAAGAACTTGGTGGCAAATGGGTTGACGGACATACCCAGTATGCGGCTCTTGTTGTGTCTTGCCATGTTGGCCCCGTACTCCCCCAGGTTATCAACGAGGCAATCAATCAACTTTTTGGGAATAGCATCAAGGTCTGCTTTCTTGATCCGCGTCATACCAATCCTGTTCATTGCGCCGGGTACATAGCAGAGCAATGTTTCCCCCTCTCCCTCAACAGTTGGCCTGGGACAAGTGGGTGTGCCGTCGAACTTCTGCCTTGGAAAGTGTGCATTACCGTCCCATTTACCTTCCCTGTCCGGAGTCTCACTGTGTCTTGTTTCTGGCACCCAGTAATGGTCTGCTGTAACATAGTGGGAAAACACTCGGTAAATGAAAAAGGGAGCGTAAGAAATAGTTCCATTTCCATCGGTTTGAGTCTGCATTAGGATAACTCTCATAGCATACAAGACAGCATACAGTTGAGCAATCATCCAAAACTGGTTGTCGTCCAATTCCAAAGCCTTATGGTTCTTGTTGTAGTAGTGCTTGTAATTCCAGCGACTCCGAATCATGCCGGCATAGTGCAGCATTACGCCTGCGGACCGAGTATGATTGGGCACAAGTACCATCACCGCGTGCCTCCCGACCTTCTTGAGCTCTTTCACGAAATCAATCCATCTTCCTCTTGACTTCTTACTCTGTATCCATCTGGCGGCAGCCTCGGAATACTTCCTGACTTGCTCGCAGGCCTTAAAAGAATCGCTAACCTTCTTGTCTTTGTATCGCTTGCGTCTCCCAATCGAATGCTCAACCACTAACTGCATTTGGTGCATGACGCAGTATCCATTCTCACCGGACAGGATTCGACCAACCATCAAAGCAACATTGGTCGTATCGTTCATGGCATGGTAGATCATACGCCCACTAACCCCAAAGCCTGCCAAGATTTCGGAGATCTGATCGGCAGTTTCAGGGCCATGCTTGTCATCACAAAGAGTCAGAGAAACAGGAATGACAAACACCTTTCCCCGAATTGGATTGTAAAAACAGATCGTCACTCCAAGGATTTCCTTTCTGTTGGACTCCCATACATCATGGGAGCACGTTACGAAACCGACGTCCTTGCCCGTCAACTTCTTCAGGTACTCGTCAGTCTCCGTGATGTACATGTTCACCGCAGCAGCAAGCTCGATAAAGCCTTTGCGGCGGTGAGTAGCAAGAGCCTGTCTTCCCATGAGTCCATAGTTGGGTAGCTGGTTGATTTAATTTGCATGCTTGACACAAAACCCAATCAAGTCCTTCCATTCAGGACACTGCGTGTGATTGGTGACAATCCGTTCTGGAAGGTTGTTATTCGTGTAGAACCGATACTGTTTGTCCTTCCACTGCTTCTCAACAACAGCAAGACCAACAGCTTTGGAAGATTCATACAAGACGTTCACCTGAGATGGAGGATCCCCGGTAATTGCAGTACCGGCGGTGGAGGGTGAGAAAACAGCAGTCGGGCGTGGACGTGTTGCAGGACCAACATCATCACCAAAGTTGCCAGTAGCGTGGCCTTCTTCGTATTTGTAGTTGTGTTTCAATGCTTTCATCGCCTCCCAGACTTCCGCATGCTTAGCCTGGACATGGCTTGTCATATTGCCATTACCATTCAGGGCGTACGGTGGGCCACCAGTCTTCTTGTAGGACGGCTTCACCAGGGAGCAGTACAAGCTGACTGCAGGATCATCATAGCACAGGAGACAAACACAATATGGCTTCTTTTCTGTCTCTGCATCCTCCAACTTTTCGAAAGCTTTGAAGTCCAGTGCTCTCAATTCCTCCAAGTCCTTCTGCTGTCGAATGTGGGCAAACTTCATCACTTCCCAAACTGCAGCTTGCTTCTGGGAATTCGTGCGCCTGGTGTTCACCTTGTCCTTGGTGTCAACCAGACCTTTTGCTCGTGCGTAGAGAGACGTCAGGTTCGTTTCTCCCCCTTCATCTTCTTCGTCCTCCTCCTGGGATCCTGCCGCTGCAGCCGGCTCTTCAACAACCGGCTCATTTTCGACTTCGGGATTCTCTTCTTCAGCATTCTCGACTTCGGCATTCTCTTCTTCAGCATTCTCGACTTCGGCATTCTCGACTTCTCCGTCATCGACTTCTCCGTCATCTTCGTCTTCGGAGTCAGACTCAGACTCAGGCTGGTCCTTCAATGCTCGTCCAGCTTTCCTTCGAGCAATCCGGAGCCGTCGTCGTTGTGGCTCTTCTTCTTCTTCTTCATCGTCAGAATCGTCTTCCTCGGAGGATGAATGTTCGTCACGAGCTGAGAGTGGAATCATCCCGGAATTTTGCGAGATATGATCTGCGAATTCTTCAAGACCATGGGCTTCACGCCTTCCTTCGTCAGAGAATTGGGCAACATCATACAGCTCGTCCTCAATAATGCCTCCAGCATTGTCTTCTTCTTCCATGATAGGCAATAGGCAATGCGATAGGCAATGCAATGGGAAACCGTAACCAGGTAGATCGGCGGATAACCAGATACGTAACCAGATAGGTCGTTGCGAAGAACCAGATACGTAACCAAAACCAGGTAGATTTGGGCATAGGTTCCCTATCAGGTTCCTCTTTGAGAATTTATGAGCAAAATGAGGAACAAAAAACGGCTTCGCTCAACCAGATACGTTCCGAGTAACCAGATACGTAACCAGTTAGATAACCGTTTACGTAACCGGTTACGTTCCGAATAACCAGGTAGGTAACCTATAAGCTAACCACATCCGGAACCAATTACAGATCGTAAAAGGTTAGGTTATAGGTTACCAACCAGATAGCGAAAATCTATCTGGTTACAGGTTATCGGTTATGTAAATGGTTAAAAGACTCAACCAGATAGCCGTAACTGTAGGTTGACCACCGTTGGTTCGCACACCCTGGTTTCAGTAGTTAAATCCATTGCGAACAGCGGCAACTGCCAAACAGCTTGGACAGCCTAGCTAAGAGCCAGCATGCCGGTACTAGCTACATGTAGCCAAAACGGGATGAAAGCTGCAACATGGAACCGAGCCATCCCGGCAACATAAAACCGAGCTTTCGCGGTTTAAGTCAGTGGGAGCTGCGATACCTCGGCAGAAAGACAGATAGAAGAAGGAGGATCATGTTCGAGATTGCACCCATCTTTCAAGCCAGTGCACCAGCCCTGGCGACAACACCCGACTACGTCGTGTGTTGCCGCCCGGTATCATTCATTCCCTCATTGCAACCTTCTTTATTAAGCTAGCCCTGGCGACAACACCCGACTACGTCGTGTGTTGCCACCCGCTACTCTATAATTTACCAGCTGCCATTCCCTTATTGTAACTCTAACCTTTACAATTCCTGCTGGCTTATTGTGCTGTTGTGCTGATTGCACTAACCTTAAATATTAATGATTTCTTCCTACCCCTAACTTGTATTGAACCATCAATGTTCAGTTTTGTTGGCTTATGACTATCTTTATACTTATACTTTGGCTTCACCGGAGCAGAGGATGCCGGAGCCAAATATGCCCTCACTACAACCATGTTTGCTGCTGGCATGACTGCAGCTAGTGTCCTATACCGGACTGGTGTAAAGTGGATTGGGACCGACAAGCTGTCAATTAAAAAAGGCGGTCTAAACAAGGTTAACGATTATGAGAAATATGTGGGACAACCAGAAGATATCTGCTTCATCCAATACACCTCTGGCAGCACTGGGAATCCCAAAGGAGTCATGATCAATCATAACAACTTGGCTGAAACATGCAAGGGAGGTGTTTCTTTAACAGATTGTCTGGGACCCAATGAATTGGAAGTACTGTGGGTCCCTCAATACCATGGTAAGTTTCCAGCTACTGACTCGTTCCCATGCTTCTTTCTGTACCTCACCCCCCTCACTATCCAGACATGGGACTCGTGACTGGGTTTATGGGTGCTACATATTCCGGAACACCCCTTGTCATGGCTTCACCGTTGGATTTTATTGCCAACCCATTGCTGTGGACTGATATGGTTGAGAAATATCAGGCCACCATCACCTCAGCCCCCAACTTTTCTTATGCTTTGCTCCTCAAAAGATTGAAGCAGACCAACAGGACAGCTGACTGGAGTTGTGTGAAGCGGGCCATGTTTGGAAGTGAACCAGCCCAGAGCCACATTGTGGAGGCAGTGTCAAAAACCCTCACTATCAAACCTGAGCATATTTACAACATCTATGGTATGGCTGAAATGGTAGTGCTTGTAACTGGTGGACCAGCCAAATCAGACTCTGAAGGTCTTGTCTGCTGTGGAGAAGTAAACTCACCTACCCTGAACCTTCGAATTGTTGAGGGCGGAAAGGAGGTGGAGGATGGGCAAGTTGGAAGCATCTGGGCCCAATCACCGCGTGTTGCTGTTGGTTATTATTGCCAGGCTGAGCTTACAAAGGCTACATTTGCCAATTCACTGCCATGATATGAAGGCTCTTGGCTAGAAACTGGTGATTTGGGCAAGATTGTTGACGGGCAAATGTAAATCACTGGCAGAGTCAAAGATGTTATCATTGTGAATGGAAAGAACTATTACCCAACTGATGTAGAGCTATCCATTGATGATGCTTTTGGTGATGTTATCCGTCCAGGAAGGACATCAGCCTTTCAGCTTGGAGAGGACAGCATTGGTGTCACACTCGAGGCTCGCAAAGGGTTTGACAAGTCATCGAATGAAGATCTGGCGGTTAAGATAGCCAACCATGTGTCCCAGTTCCATGGGCTTTTTGTCTCTGACGCTGTTGTTCTGAAGCTGGGTGTAACACCCAAGACCACCTCTGGCAAGCTGAAGAGGAATGAGATTAGGCAGACAACAGTTGGTGGTGATTGGAAGGCATCTGATGTGCTCCTTAGATTCCAACGACAGGCAAACATATCTTATTCTTTCGAGGAGAGCTCTTTCCTTGAGCATAGCTTTGCAAGAAATGGGGTTACCAGCAGTGAGTTCTATTTGTCAGAAGCAACTCAACGTGAAATCATGAGAAGATCAATGTCACTACCAGTTGGGAATCTTGACATTGGCAGTGTGCCTACAAGCAGTGACTTGCAGGCAAGCAATCCTGATCCCAACTCAAGTATAGGTCTGTAGATGGATGTGGATCTGTAGATCCAGATGACTTCTCCATCAAATATACCAATGTAATCACATCTGTTCTGGGTTCTGAAGTGGACACATCAAAACTATGGGCTGAGAATGGACTCACATCTCTCAAGAGTGCACTACGCTAAAAGCTAGTGTAAAGATCTTTCGAGTGTTTTGAGTTTTGAGAGAATGAAAGTTATGAGAGAGATTAGAAAGCTATGAAAACTAATCAACGAGAGAGATCATCAATCAAGGGATCGTAGATCTGGCTTCCCGCGGGAACTATAAGTGTGATAGAGTAGGTTGTAGTAATCCACTCTCTCCACGATCCCAAAACGGAACCGTGAAGGTTTCTAGCCTGATTTAGTAGCGTGGAAGTACTCCAGCGGCTAAATATCTAGACGATGTTTCATCATCAACCTGTATGACTAGCGCGCATGAGAACCTGTCTCAAATCACTATTCACGAGAGACTCGTCATGAGTCAACTCAAACCCTATCAGGATCGAGTCGCGAATAAGGCTAAGAGCCGGTATTGCATTCGCCCCTGACAAGGTCAAGAAGCGCGACAGTATCGGACAAGGAGAACATATGATTTAAAGTGCGTGCACTCCATGAGATTTGATGTAACATGTGCGTCGACGAAGAGCAATCCTACAAGGGATCAGGTTGTATGGGTGTATATACCTATGTTCCAAGTCTGGTAGACTGTGCCCATTGGCGGAGCATGTGAGCCGTACAGTGCCATTGTCATTGCTCGGTCTATAGTGTAAGGACCTTTGTACTTTGGCTGACCGTACTTGCGGTGCTGATACTGTTGAATCATCACAGTACGTTGACATTGTTATTGATTAGGGACACGTCGCGTTTTCCCTATGTTGTTTGTTGATTAGTCGTTGGCGACGTTCCTTAATGTACTTCAGTTGGCTTCGAACCGGACTTGTGAATCGTCGTCACGATTGAAACGAGCTGTGCGGGCGTTGCACGCAAAGTGGTATGAATCGTGGCATTCATTGCAAAGCGAACCGCCGTGAGGACTCCATCCCAGGATCCATTCACGAGGTCGTCTTGACACTTATTTTTGAACAGCATCAAGTTACGTATGTTTATGAGCACGCTCGACCATAAGTTGGCTTGAGGTTAGCCGTAGTGTGAACTTGCGACGAAGTCCTATTCATCCGGAGTGTCTCATTCGACCTCTGCGCGGAAACCGACGTCACTTATCCATGATAACTCAACCAAGTCATGGAATACGCGATGACCACGTGTCAGAACGATGGCTCTTCGTGTTGCCTTGGAGCAGATCTCTCAATCCGACCATTCCGGTTACGGGACAATCATTGTCAAGCAATGAATGTAGCAGAATTATTTTTCTTGGATCCCGACGTTGTAAGGGCCATCAGGTCAATACATAGTCTTTCCCAGGGACTCCTCGCAAGTCCTTGGAGGAACAATCCCAGCTTACGCGTCTCGGGTTTGTTCTCTGGCAGACTTCTGGCACGCTGACATACGGCCTTCACAGTCCTCGCAGCCTTTCCAGTGTAAGGTTGGCTGATGGTTAGTTCCGTCGAGTCTCGCCAGGATGCAACAGCACACCATTGGTACCATATCAATTAGCTTCTTCTGCATAGTTTAGGTACGACGATCTTATCGTCCTTAACTATTAAGGCGTAGGACTTATCCCCCCTTGGGGAAGATTGCTTCTTTGGCTGATATCTTGCTGTCCGAGGAGCTTGATACGTTGTCGTCTTTGCGACGAGTCGATCTCGGGGAACGAGAGGGGAACTCACTAGGGAAGTCACCTTCGTCTGCAGCCATGAGCTCAGCGATCTCGCTGCGTCCATCTGTTCTGAAGAACCGTCGTTGTTTGAGATGTTAAGTCTCGACAACGACAACGCGCGTGTTCTGTTGCCCTGATGTACCGTGTCAGGGTGTTTCTTCCAGAATACAGCGCCATCGCATTACGCGACGGTATTGAATTTCTTACATGTAAGATTCTTTTGGTCCGTATGTACAACGTTTCTTCTTCCTAGAAGAATGTACGGAACTCTTCAGAGTTTCTACGATACTGAGAAGTTCCTTCTCGGTAACTGTGTAACGTGTCGAGCAGGGTTGAGCTTCCTACTGTAGAACGCGATTGGTTTTCCCTTCTGGAATTACACTGCACCTAGTTGAGTATCAACCGCATCCGTGGATAAACGAATGTATCGTTGAAGTCAGGGTAGGCAGCAAGTTTCCTTGCTGATGATCTTCTTCATCTGGCTAAAGGCCTTTGCCGTGTTCGGCTTCCCATATTCCACTTCGTTAGTTTGGAATGTCAACGAAGAGCGAGTGGGGCCAGTACATGTGATCGTCATAATCCACATATCTCATCGATAGTAATCACTTCCAATGAACTACGGAGTTCCTTCCTGTTGGTAGGAGGACATATTCTTGAAATCGCGTCTAATTTCTTGTTATAGGTTGGATCCACATTCTCTAGTGATCCAGTAACCCTAGGTACTCAATTTTCTCATCTTGCGAAGAAGGACTTGTAGCATTATCTTAGAGTCCCGCTTTCTCGAAGCCTCGAGAAACCATCCAAACTTCTCAACGTGATCTGCTAATCGCCGTGGTTAGGATGAGTAGATACATCAATGTATGAACGGACGTTTCTCAAGTCGTGCATTAGATGTTCCCATCTTCATCTTGGAAGATGTCGGACTATTACATAGGCCACATTCAACCTCTGGTACATCTATATTTCCACACGGGAGTACGATGGTAAAGAGTTGATTCGAGTGAGGGACAGCTCGAATGTAAAAATCCCTTCAGGTCTTGTCTAGTAGCGTACTTGATTCCGTCTAGATTCAAGAGAATGTCCTGTAATTTGGATAGGATAAGGCTTTCGCCTAATCCTTTTGTTCAGTTCCCGAAATCAGAGATGAATCGAACAGATCCATCTTTCTTGAGAATGATAAAAGTTTGTGCCACCCACTCCAACGGTGTTACTTTGAGGATCCGCCTCCAAGACGTCAACTCCATCTATAAAATGTGGAAGGAACCCCGTGGAATAGGGTAAACCCTGGCATGATAGGGTTAGCATCAGGGAGAAGTTCTACTCAGTAGCGTCCATCTGCCACTTTCACAAAGTACCATAGAATAGGTAAGAGTACTTAGTCAGTAAGAAATGAAGCTGTTCCCTCTCTTCCGTGTAACGAATCTTGACTTTGGCATACTTGCCTTAAGTCAGCTTGTCCTTATTCGCATCAAGAATCTTCTGAAGACATTTCACGCATCACACACGTCAGATACAGAAGAAAAAGTTTCTCTTCATTGGGTGCCTACTTTCAAGGAATAGGCCCGCCACACTCCACTGACAGTATGGAAATCGAACTGAAACCTAATCAGAGAGAAAATCTCGACATATGATCATGCATACGCCCCCAAGACTTGGGTGACGTCAAGTCCCACTCATAATCCACTTCATGTTGAATTCAAGTAATCATGAAATTCACCTTGCACTTCTGTGCTGGGTTTAATTCCTTCATTGAAGGGTAGTCCTAATGTTTGGCTCCCCCAAGTTATCCTTCTATGCTTAATTTCTTAGCATGTTTGGGTAATCAAAGTGTTCCGGATGCCCTGTATCTCAGAAGCAACGGAGTTAACGGTTTGGTTCCCTTTTCTCGCTTTAAATCTAACTAAACGTGGGTTGTGAGGTTTCTTTCTTGCGACTTTAGAGTTGGTTGGCCACGGTGAGTTTAACGATGCTAAAATAGATCATCAGAGTCAGGAGAAAGCTTCAAGGCAATCATTCTAATTTGCCGTAGTTTCATCAGTTGAAAACAAATCTGTTTACTATAAGCGAGAATACTCATTCACTTGGTATAGGAAAACGGAACAGGTTCCGTGAAGTCATATCCTCCTAAGCCCAAATAGAGATTTCTCCATCCAAGTTGGAAATGAAGAGAGATTGTCCCTCATTGTCGAAATCTTCTGATTGCGCTTGAGCAACATGGTTAGCGAAGTTTGCAATGTGGTTAGCACGAGTATCTTCGATCTCTTTTTCTTCGTCATTGTCGACTGGAGGAAGAATGGGTTTGACACGCAACTGTTCCAAATGCGGAACCATGCTTTCCTTGAAGCCACTGTCTATGTGAACGTGAAAATGCTTTCCTTGAGCCATCTTCATGGTGAAGGAATAGGTTGAGGGTAGCTGAAAGCTATTGTGTTTGTTAACAAAATGCACTACGCTAAAAGCTAGTGTAAAGATCTTTCGAGTGTTTTGAGTTTTGAGAGAATGAAAGTTATGAGAGAGATTAGAAAGCTATGAAAACTAATCAACGAGAGAGATCATCATCAAGGGATCGTAGATCTGGCTTCCCGCGGGAGACTATAAAGTGTGATAGAGTAGGTTGTGGTAGTAATCCTACGTCTCTCCACGATCCCAAAACGGAACACGTGGAAGGTTTGTCTAGCCTGGATCTAGTAGCGTGGAAGTACTCCACGCCGGCTAAATATCTAGAGCGATGTTTCATCATCAACCTAGTATGACTAGCGCGGTCATTGAGAACCCTGTCTCAAATGACTATTCACGAGAGACTCGGTCATGAGTCGAACTCAAACCCTATCTAGGATCGAGTCGCGAATAAGGCTAAGAGCCGTGTATTGCAAGAGTGCTGAGCTGAGGAATACGGTTGAAGAAGTGTTACATGTGGTCCTTCCAGTCAACTTTGAACAGCTCTACCCAACACCAAGTGAACTATCAGTCTTCTTGAAAGCCTCAGAGAGCAAAAGCTTCCCCAAGCAGGCTACACATGATCATCCTGACTTCCTTTGGAACTCAGAAATATCAAAGCTCAGCAAGCTCCAGATGGAGCTGCTCCAAACTCTTGGTTCAAGTGTGATTATGCTACTGGTTTTGATATCAATTGTCCCATCCTATTTCCTTGTTTCCTGGGTTATGGAACAGTGCTCCTCGACAAATGGTGGGGAGACTCACTGCCCGATCTCATGGGTGCTCTTGCCAATAACTTTCCCCCTATTCCTACTGTCACTGTCAGTCACAGTAGTAATCTGCAAGGTTACTGTCGTGGGAAATTACAGATATCAACAGTTTGATCTGTTATCCTGGTACTATGTTCGCTGGTGGTTTGTGGACAGGCTTATTGATCTTTGGGAAGCTATAGTCGGACAATTTTTTGTTGAGACCAAGTACATTTGGATCTTCTATAGATTGCTCAGAGCAGATATTGCGTGGTCTGCCAAGATTGAATCCTACATACGAGAGTTTGATCTTGTCCAGGTTGGTGACAGTACTACTATTGGACACAGGATCAAGTGCAGAAAATTTTCCCAGTCCACAGATTCAGGTCCAAAGTTGACCTTCCGACCGATTACGATCGGAAAGGACTGCACAATCTCTGGTATGGTCAGCCCTGGAGTCAAGATTGGAGATGGCAGTAAGGTTGAGAAATTTGCTGTCGTTGCAGAGGGGGCTATGGTATCAGATGGTGTCCTCGCCAAAGGAAACCCAGCGTGTTGTGCAGGCTCCATTGAGCACACCAAATCAGAATGCAGGGAAGAGTTTTCGTTGGATGCTTTCAAGATTGTTTTGACAATCCTTGAAGCATACCATTTCTTTGCACTGTCATATCTCGTCCATGTACCACTCAACCAACTCCTGGCTGACTGGCGCTACGCAACTATCCTCCATTGGTTCTTGCTTTTTCCAGCCACTTCATTCCTTGCCATCCTCACTAGCATTCTTCTCAAATGGCTTTTGATTGGGAAATGTGATCCCACAGACGAATATGAGGGTTCACTTTGGAAACAAGCAACCAATTGGGGATGTGACTTTCACTTCCGGGTAGCTTCATGGACTCTTACTCCCTTTCTTGGGCAGTCCAAATTCTGGAACATCATCCTTTACCTGCATGGCCTTGATGTTGACGTGGAATCACTTCTGAACAACCCATACCTGATCTTCTACCCTTCGAAAGTTGATTATGTGAAGATCAGACAGTCGTTTGTTGGTACGATTTCTCTTGATTTTGGCAAGAAGGGGGGCTCTAAGATTGAGATCATCAGCAGTAGCATTGGCTACAATGTGAACCTACATGCTGGTGTCAAGGTCATGCAATCTTTGATTCCACCTAGGTTGGATGTTTTGGATAGTGTCTATGATGTCAACCATTCAGCCAAGGCATGGCAGACTAGTTTCATTATGGACATGTTGCTTCCTGAACTGACACAACAAGTGCTGAATGTGATTCTGTTTGCTACTCTCATTCCTTCCTATGAGATTGGACTGGCTGCTGTAAAGAGCACCTCGGATGCCCTTTCTGTTTTTGGTTTTGTTGCAGCCTTTCTCCTTGTACTGAGTCTGTGGATTGCTCTGACTTGTGTGATTGAAAAGATCATGTTGATTCTGCCAAGTTCTGCTCAAGAGAGTTGCTTCAGTTTCTACATCAACCATGTTTGGATCTTCAATGTGGGGAACTGGCTTGTCTTCCTCCTCTACGGAACTCCCATGTTTGCCTATTATGCCCGAATGATGGGCGCTAAAGTGGATGGCGACTGTTGTTTGCTAGTAATACTGCAGCTTATTGGGGAGTAATTTGGTTTTAGATTAAGCTGAAAAGCAAAAGTGAGGATTTTCTGGTGGTGCATAGCAATTCTTGTGATTGAATTGGATATAAGGACCCCCGTAGCACTTTAGACCTAAAACTCCCTTGGTTCCTTGCATGATGTATTTACATGCGAACCGGACTAGATGATTAATACACGAGTCAATAGTAAAGAGGTGTCAGGTATGTTTCCTCCAACAGCGACCTTTGGTACTTTGGCAATGCCATCTATGAGTATGGGAAACCCCACTTTCATGGTTGCATCATTGTGGATGATTCTCATATTAGCGGCCACTATGTTGATCGAAATGGGCTGAACATTGCTGACACATTTGTATCTGGTCTACTGCATCCTGGATGTTATGCTTCCGCTGGATCCAAAGTGAGTGGAGGTGAGAATGGTCCTTGGAAGGTATTCCTGAAAAGTATTGACATTGACCAAGAAAACTTGAGAGTTGAAAGCATTGAGGGTGCCGTGTAGTCAACCAGGAAGTCCACTGCCAGTATCCATCTACCTGGGAACAAAGTCCAATACTCTAGCGACCTGGTAAGCCCCCTTGGAACAACTCTAGCACTATATATGCGTTTGACACTGGATGCACAATCTGGTGTACTTATTGTACTGGAACCATACCTAGCTAGATAGTCCTAGCTATAGTGAACTGCAGCCCCTTGTCCTCTAAAGTGCGGACGGCTGAGGCGGTAAATTGGGGGGGTCTACTAGGAAGACTTGACTCTTTTGAAGGAAGCAAGGGGGGTTTGAGTATAGGCTGATCTACGGTACCGCGGAACCAGAACTGGTGAGAACACGTCACGCATCCTTCCAAAGAAAAATGAGGAACGCGTAACCATGCACAGAATGGAATCCCAAGGGGATGGGCAAATCTTGCAATAGCCCTGTATTGTAATGGAGTGTGACTCGCCAAAATCAGTTAAAAAGCCGAAATTCGTATTTTTTCCGGAAGATACATTTAATTGGATTGCATTGGATTGGATTGGATTGGATTGCATTGAATTGGATTGAATTGGATTCCAAATAGTACTGTTATTTATACAGTAAACTGTAATTCAATGCAATCCAATCTAATCCAATCTAATCCAATGCAATCTAATCTAATCCAATAGAGAAAAACAGCCAAAGTAAAAGATTGGCTTAGCGCACACAATTTTTACAAAAACGCTCTAACAAATTCAACACAGAGCCATGTGCAAGTTTGCTCATCCCCCAATGCAAGCTTAATGAGAATAAGTATTGGGGCCAATCCATGGTTGTCTGTGGATCTCTACAACGATCGACGTATGAGGAAGGATGAGTTGCCGTTTAGGAAATGCCGCTAGTTGCTTATTGCCAAGTTGGAATGTATCAGGTGTTTGGTTTCTTGTCCTTGCAGGCGTGTCATTGGCAGCTGTACCAACAGTATTGGGCCTTCCCTCCTTTCGGGATGCCATACCCAATGGCTACCGCGTTCCTAACCCAGAACCCCAAGGAGGTGTGTGGGCAGGCGTGGGGCATGCCAATGCAGGAGGTGGATCCTTCCCTCTGAATCCATTTGGAAGAGACTTTTTGGCGGCAGGATCCACTTGGACTGCAGAGCTGTGCCAACAAGATTCCGATGGCGATGGACGTTCCAATGGACAAGAATTGGGGGATCCCAACTGTACATGGCAACAAGCTGGTCAAGAAGAAGAGCCAGAAGGACCGGCTCTGTCTCATCCTGGATTGGCAGATCAAGTTCAGGACGGTGGACTCTTGGATTCCTGTGATGACTACTATGAACCTCCCAATGATGCCTTGGAACTGAGGATTCAATTTTCCTTGCCCAATGTCTTGAATGGCACCACCAATAGAACCACGTACATGTGCGAACAAGTGCAACTCAGTACTCCTCCCGTGGACGGAGTCCTGGATTACAGTCTGATTCGATCCCATGTCTTTGACAATCATCCCAATTTGCTGCATCATCTCGTACTCTACGAGTGCGACAACAGTGGCGTTAGCTCGGATGGCAACAAGGTGGGAGATGGCCCCTATGTGTGTTCCGGTATGGAAAGTCGATGTTCCATTTTGACCGGATGGGCCCTGGGACGACTACCCACGTGTGAACCACCCAATGTCGGCCTGGCATTCAACTACTATACCACAACAACAACAACAACAACAGACGGCACTAATACTAATAAAAAGGTGCTCAAGTTGGAGGCTCACTACGACAATGCCTTGCGTCTTTCCAATGCCATGGATCAATCTGGAATGACACTCACCGTGACGCCCACACTACGGACTCACGAGAGTGGACTGGTCCGGTTTGGATTGGGATTGCCCGATGCCAACTTTGACTTGCCACCTGCAGAATCATCCTCCGAACTCGTGTCGGTGGAGGGAACCTGTCCTGGACAAGTCACTATGCAATTGCCGCATCCCATTTTTGCCTACGCGTGGTTCCCTCATATGCATTACATTGGACAATCCATGATTACCGAACATTATCGATGCGGGGTGAAGATTGGAACCCTGGGCAATATCCAACGCTACGAATTCGACAATCAACAGTTGTACTCCTTCCCGGAGGTCATCAAAATATTGCCCGGAGATGTGCTCCACACAACCTGTTCCTACAATACTTCCTCGACGACAACTACTACGAAAGGAGGGACAGAAACCAGTGATGAAATGTGTTACAACTTTATTTATTACTACCCCAATTTACGAAACAGTTTGTCGGGCGTGGAAAACTTTTTTGCCACCTGCTTTGCCTTTGACCGTGGTATCCGCGAGAACTGGTTGCCCTTGATGTTTGGTGCCATTCCCAACCACACCACACGATTTGCTACTATGAATGATGGCATTGGAGGCTGGGCCGTTGAATTGAACTATACATCGGATCCCACCGTGGTGGTCAATCCTTGTTGCGGTGACAACAATGATGATTGCGAACAACTCTACTTGTCCAGTGACGGTGGTCCCTGTGCCGTGAACGACGACTGCACTAGTGGTTTGATCTGTCATCAAGCCGTGTGTGTATCGGAGGACCAACCTTTGGAGAGCGCACCTTCGGAGAGTGACTCGTCTGCGGCATCACCACGACCAGCTCGTACTTTCCAGCAGTGGGCAATGTCGTCGTCCATGGGATTGGTTCTTTTGCTGCTGCGGCCATGGCTGCTACTATAGACTTGAGTTACTCAGTAGACTAACGCGACTTGATCATCGACGATCTCGCTAGCGGTAGCTATGGTACAGAGTATGGCATCCGTCCCGTGCGGAGAGTTTTCGATCGTAGTCGGCTGGCCCGACAATGACATGCCTCGACGCGATACGATAGTACAGAGCTATAGCGACGGTAGCTAGACGAGGTTAGATAGATGCAGGAAGAACTCTCCTGGCTCCACTGCAGTCGTAACGTTGCTTCTCATACCTTGGCCGTCCAAGGCAAACTCGTGGAAGGGCGGATATCGAGTGGAAACTCAGCCCTCGAAACGAGCCCACGAACGGTACGGTAGACCATCGATGATCTCGTAACGATACAGAGTGCATCCTTCCCGCGCGTCCCGTTGACATCGAAGGACCAACAATGATGGCATGCCTGGACAGTTAGTTTCATCTACGGCTGGCTGGCCCGACAATGGCTGCATGCCCAGATTCGATTCAATAGTTAGTACGTACAGTAGCTGGCTAGATAGTACGTACGGTGGGTACAGTAGCTAGCCTGTAATGTCGGATGTCGCGACCAGAGCCCTCGGGAAGACCCGACATGGTCACGTACGGTAGCTTGACCACGAGCACTGTAGCTAGTTTTAGCTAGGCGCACCTACATTGTTTGTGCCGCCGAGATCGTGTGCGCTGGTTCACCAAGCAAGGTCATGCAGCTCAATCTCTTCCATCATGGACTATCCAACCAAGGGTTAGAAGTGCTAACTAGCTAGCTAGAGACTGCACTTTCGCTCGCCCCGCATACCATAGGCACATGCCGTGCCCATTTTTGTCGACGATGCGGCCAGGGAATTACGAGCTTTCGTCCAGCCCAACTTTTTCAAAATATCAGTGTCACGTCTACCGTAGCCATTGGAAAGTTCCGTAAAAGTATGGGTAAGAAACCGCTGTCTATCATCTTCTTGCTTGATTGGTTAGATAGAGATAGATACAGCATGCCTGGCTGATTATCGCGTACGTAGAACTTTGAAGCCCACTCTTGGACTCTTACTCATCACTTGTTTTGCTGGGCGGTGGCAGCCCTGTGAAATTTGGAGAGGTGAACAACAAAACACGATTAGCTCAATAGCTCTGCAGGTTGATTCTGCTAGATGCGGTTCCTTCCGTGGCAAGACCAAAACTACAAAACAAAAGCGCATGGACTAGACCAGGCAACATCAATCAAGATGAACATGATCGACTTGGAATGAATGAAATAGAGAATAGGGAATAGACAATAGAGTGTGTATGTTGTTGAGAGAATGAGTGTCCGTGATGGATTGTGGTTGGGTTTGTGTCTGGTGGTCCTCTTTGGACTCTCCACTCTGACAACACTCTCGACTTTGCTAGAAGATGAAGTCGTAGAAGCACCGCATCGATGGTTGTCCTCAAGTCGAGTGGACAACAGCACACTTGATAGAACTAGTAGAACAAGAAGTCTGACAGAAGATGTTGTCGAAGTGAATGGCTGTGAGGAATTCTTGTCCTTTTCCGATTTGGATCATGACCAAAGTCTCTCAGAATCAGAGTTTGTGATTCTGGTCAACCTCTTGACGTCTCAGTATCACGCAGATGCATTCGAACAGTTGCCATTGACAGCACAGCAGCTCTACTACCAAAAGACTTACACTGACAATAGTCATCAATGGGGGTTTCAACAGGAACAGGATGAGCAACAACAGCAAGTTTGCTCCCAAATCCAGAAGGCCATGGCATCGGCAGTTACTAGTGCTAGTAGTAGTGATTGCAACGCACACGCGTGGGATGTCAATGGCGATGGAGGCCTCGACAGTGACGAATTCTGTCAGTTTGTACTCCAATGGACGACCAAGACTCCTCCATCTCCATCTGACGATGCGTCCTTTCTAGAGCTTCCTCCAGCCGTTCAAGACATTTTCTGGGATCAAGCCATTCAAGAGCTCTCCACTGGCAGTACTAGTAGTACTAGTAGTACTAGTAGTACTAGTGCTAGCAGCATGGACCCAGGTGTTGGACTCGTGGTCTCGGCTACACAAATCTGCTTCCAGACACGACAAATTGAAAATGCCATGATGCAGTCATCATCATCATCCTCATTCTCCAAAAAGAGCAGTCAAACACAACTAGATTCACTGCGCCAGTGCGTCTCACAAGACATTATCGTCAGTGTCGACGTACAGATCACATGGCCCAATCAAGAGTTTGCGGCTTGTGACAGTCAGGCACAAGATGACAGTATTGGAACCAATATTGTCGATGCCATGAATGTCAACTTTGACACTACCGTCACATCGTGGAGTAGCATTGGCGCAACAACAGTGACATTCCAACAACCCTTTACATTTGATTTTACACAAGAAGTCGACACGGTCGATCCCTTTGCCATTCGACGACGACAACGACAATTGCAACCCACATCCAGTACAACCTGTCCGACACGATCCAACACGTGTACGGTCGATTATTGTCGCTGGGGATGTCTCATCGCCACCGCCACACAGTGCGATGGATCATTGCTGCCCACTAGTACAAACGATTGGAGTCTCTTGGCGGAACCGGTGCGAGCGCGATTGTCATCGTTGGGCTATGATTGTCTCGGAATCGCCGATCAACTACAAGTGCAAGTCATTGCAGAACAGCCCGTCGTCAATCCGATCAGTAATGCTACCAACACCAACAGCAGCAGTACTACCAACGCCACGACCATCGCACCCAACAACAGTACACTGGATCAGAATATGACTACTACTACTTCTGCACTCAATAATACCGGTACTAATACCACTGGAGGAAATGCCACCATGGCAGGAAACCAAACCATGGCGCCTACTGCCAACCAAACGCTTGGTAATGCGACGGTGCCGCCAAATGTAACTCTTGCTCCCAATGCGACATTGGCTCCCAACATTACATTATCTCCAAATAATACACTGGCTCCAAACATTACACTGGCTCCCAATGCCACTGTGTCTCCCAATGCCACTCTGTCTCCAAATAGTACTCTCCCTCCAAACGCTACACTCTCTCCAAATGCTACCTTGGCTCCCAATGCCACTCTTTCCCCCAACGCTACACTGGCTCCCAATGCAACCATGGCTCCAAATACAACCATGGCTCCAAATAGTACTCTTTCTCCCAATGCCACTCTCTCGCCAAATATTACTCTCTCGCCAAATGCCACACTGGCTCCCAACGCTACCTTGCCACCAAATGTTACTCTTTCTCCAAATTCCACACTGGCTCCAAATGCTACTCTTTCTCCAAATGCCACACTGCCTCCAAATGCCACACTGCCTCCAAATGCCACCCTAGCACCCAATGCTACCTTGCCTCCAAATGCTACGCTCCCACCAAACATCACCGCACCTCCAAACGCGACTCTGCCTCCAAATACTACACTACCTCCAAATGCCACCTCAGCACCCAATATCACTGCGCCTCCAAATGCCACCTCAGCACCCAATACTACTCTGCCTCACACAACTGCAGCTCCTACACCCATTGATGATACTCTGCTTCCTCCCGAAAGCACCACGCCTTCACCAACCCCCCTTCCCGCCACAACTACACCGCCTACCTCTGTGGCCCCCACGGCCCCGCCATCAACATCACCACCATCGACCGTTTCACCGACAACCGCTCCTCCAACAGCGGCACCTTCCACGGCAGCCCCGACAGGAACACCCCAGCAAGTCACAACCTACAATTCGTGGGTCATGAGCAATAGCGCTGGACTCACGGCGGCCGATCTCTTGTCGGATCTGGGGGGTGTCACCAGTGCCTATGAAGCATTCACAATCGATGTCGTGGATCAAATGTCAGCTTCTCGAGTAGCTCGTGGTCGTCTTAGAACAAGAATGCTTCGTGGAAGAAGGCTTGCCGTTTCCATTCAGACGAGAAGCACTTCCGTCTACAACTTGGCAGACTCTGCCTGCCCCAGTACGGCGCCCGCAAATTCCAACTGTTTGATTGCCTTTGGCGGACTCAACTTGACAGTGACAGATGAAGATCCAGCCGTAGTGGCATCGGAATATGAAGTCCTATCCCAGAATGAGATTGACAGCGGTCTGTTGCAAACCAAATTCAATCAAGAGGATCCGGGGAATTTGTGGAGTGTAGAAGGGTCGTCCACTCCGGTCACGCCCACAGAGGGTGCCATCACGCCACCGGAAGAAGGGACGACAGGGACCCGCGGTGGATCCGATCTGAATCTTGGTTTGAGCATTTCGCTTGCTGTCACAACGTTCCTCGTTGTCCTGATCTGCCTCTTTGTCATTCTGCCATCAATCCGCAAGAAGCGGGAGGAAGAGGAGGAAAAGAAAGATGCACTCCATGCGTTGCGAGAAGCCGAATTGATGCATTTAGCATGCGTGGCAAAGAAGGAAGCACTCGACAAACAGGAGAACAAACCTGCTCCTGGCCCTCCTTGGCCAGGAGCCAAACATGACGAAGAGGACAATCCGTACCGCAAACTTGTGGAGCATACCATGGATGAAAATTGCCCAGAGTTTCTGTCCGAGTTGGACTCCCTTCTACACCAATTTCAAGGGCGCGAAGAAGACTTGATTGCCATTCTCAAGGATTACAAAGAGGAAGAGAGTCTGCTGAATGAATCCTCGGAGGTAGATGTATTCGACGACAGTTTCACATCATCAGAAGAATCTGTTGCAAACGAGCCTAGCGTGGCAGAAGATGTACCGGTTGCGTCGGTAGAAGTTTCCGATAGTTTTGAAGAAGTCGATGATTTTGAAGACGCCGACGACAAAGCTGAAGAATGGGAATCAGATAGTGAGTCAGGCGTTGCCGAATCCAGAGCTGCGCTTGAACCACCGGAGTCTCGAGACCCTGCACTTGATCCACCCGGGGAGGACGGCAATGCAGGGAAAGAAACCACGTTAGAACCTGAGGAATCATACAGTCTCAAGCCAGATCCCGAAGAGGAAACTGAGTCTGAACCCGAGCCTGATTCGGACTCTGATTATGACAACATGTTTGACTGGGTACTTGGCAAGAGAGAGAAAGCATTCCTTGATTCAGACTCTTGTACTTTTGATGACAGCCTAGACGGCGAGGCTGGTGCGGCTGATAATGACAAGCAGATGTTGAGTTGGATACTTGACCGGAGAGAAAAGGCGTTCATTGATGATGACTCTGATAGTTCTCATGACGACTCAGAAGTTGGGGCCAATGACAGACTCATTGTGCTCGAATCAGAACCGGAGCCTGAACCTGAGTTAGAAACTGTGCTTGAACCGGAGCCAGAACCAGAGCCACCCAGAGAACCCACGCCTCTTCCGAGAGAACCCACTCCTCCTCCACGAGAGCCAACGCCACCGCCAGAACCAGAACCACCAAGAGAGCCAACTCCTCCGCTTAGAGAGACATCTCCTCCACCGCTGGAACCGCCTATCCCCCATGCTTCGCCACCGGCAAAGGAAGAGCAGACACAGCATGATGACGATACAACAGAGAGTGACTTTCTTTCATCGGAGAGTGATGACAGTTCTCTGGGGTACAAAGTCAAGTGGACACAAAAGAATGGATGCTGGTTTTCCGAAAAAATCTGGGATGGGCAGGAAGACGATGAGAGTGAATCCAGTGGTTACATCAGTACAGATAGTGAAGATGAGGTTGTCTACCATGAAAATGGAGATGTAGTGGATGAAAGCTCAGCATTCCACTGGGTAAGGAATTGTGGGGCATGGGCAAAGGAGATGGAAGACCAACAACAAGGAGGGAACCTGCTGGATGCAGATGATGACAGCAGCAGCTATGCAAGCACCGAATCTGATGAGGATGAAGGTACACCGATAAGGTGGGCTTGGAGAAATGGTGGGTGGGTCCAAGAGGTTGAAGATGATGAACTCGAAAGTCTAGGCTATTCCACTGCGAGTAACAACTAGCTAGTCTGATGTAAAACATGGCATAGAAGTTGTTTCCTTTACAGTGTAGATCAAGCTTCTGTTGGACCCACTCAGCCTGCCATCTCTTTGCTATGCAATGCATCATGGTATCAGGCTCACCACAAAATAAAAGCTATCAAGGCCAGTACAAAAACACAGTTGAGGATGCAATCCTGGGAAGCGGTGGCATGTCCATATATACCTCGGCAGTCTTGCTGCCAGAGCCCTCAACCCCTTTAATTGTTTTTCCTGCTACGGTGGTCCCTGCAGGTATAAGGGTAGGGTTAGAATACAAATAAGTCAGCAAAAACTTAGCTAGGATGGTGCAAACCAGCTAAAGCAATTTACATCCATCCTAGTAGGGGGATCTGCTTCTACCAGGAAAAACTCTAAAGCCAGCGAAAGCTATATAACTAGTATTCTAGCTAGCTAGGGGTGTCTGCTTCTAGCTTGCTATGGGAATCTGCTTCTAGCTAGGGGGGATTTGCTTCTAGCTAGCTAAGCACAAGTTAAGCACTAGCTAAGCACTAGACGTGTCTGCTTCTAGTTAGCTAGCTATAGGGGTATCTGCTTCTACACTGAAACCTTTCTGCCGAGGTTACACAGCTCCGCTGGCTTAATATAACCATGGAATTTTACTTAGCGTGTCATTAACTCCACAGATTTAGATATGTAGGCTGCGGCAATCCGAGAGTCCGAGAGGCTGTGAACATGTATGCTCCTCAGCAAGTTTTGTCGGTTTCTTCCATAACTTCTTTGGAGTGTCCGGCAATATGACGTTCAAAATCAGTGCGAAAGAATGATTTCCATGGGCCATTTTCTTCTTCATTCACAACAGCTCCAGCCGCAATGTAGCATCCTGGATGGACAACCCCATTGATGTAGATATGATCTAATGTGAGTCCATTGAAGTCATAATAGTGGCCACGGGGACAAGAATTGTCCACTATTGTGTTGCCCTGAAAGTGGCAGTTGGAAAATTCATCAATAGTGCAATCAAAGAACCATAGATCACCATTGACTTCAGCCCCCATGCATTGAGCATAATATTTGAACAAGGGGGTTCCCATCAGAAGGAACTCCATTGGGTTACCCTCTCGGAAACTAACCATGTAAGATACATAGGCTGGGAAGAGGCCTTTCTGGAAGGAGGGGGGCACCAAATTCAAGAAAGCCCACTCAAGTATCTTGGCGAAGAGGATCCATACAAAGAACTGAAAGACAATAGCCATGCCAACAACCAAGATGACAACACTTGTTAAACAGTCGCCCCCCACAAAGGCTGCAGCAAACTCATATGCTGGAGCAATGCTCCAGAATATGACGACAAGAAGAACCAGCTGGAGAGTTTCAGGGAGAACCAAATCCCATGTCAATTTCAATTCTGTATCTGTTGAGTTCAAATCATAGATCTTGTCTGAGACTCGAGTTCTTGAAGGTATGTTGGATCTAACCACCTTAGCACCAGCATGAATGATGGTGTCTTTGCCAAGAGAGCTTTTCCATACCTCAATTCTCTCTCCTGTGGGAGTGTCCAGTTCGATCTGAGTACTTCGGAGCGAGGACTGCCGTATCCTCACAAAGTCCACCTTTGAGGGCGGGCAAATCTGTGATGCAGTGCGCAAAAAGGACAAAGCATCAACATCCAGGCCATGGAACCATAGAATCAATGAATCGAGTCGGGAACCCCCAAAAAACTTGACTAGCATCCAGGAAGCAATTTGATAGTGGTAGTCACAGGCCCAGTTGGTTGCCCGTCTCCACAATGTACCTTGATAGGCCTCTGATGGATCTCTCTTACCAATCAAGAGCCATTTCAAGACGACACTAGTCACCATAGCAAACAACGAAGCCAGAGGAAAGAGCAGGAACCATAGCAGGATACCAGCATATCGCCAGGCTGGCAAGATTTCTTTGAGGATTGCATGGGCAAGGAAGTATAGGGCATAGTAATGGTAGGCTTCTGAAAACATCCAGAAAACTTTGAAAGCATCAAGAAGGGTTTCATTCCACCAGTTTGACTCCGGACGGTTGCATGAACCGGCTTTGTGTGCTGGAATTCCTCTGGCAATGACACCATCTGGAACTTGAGCTCCTTCCTCCACCACAGTCAATTTCTCGACTATGGACCCAGCTCCAATAACAGCCCCAGGGCTTAACATCCCAGACACCTTGCAGTTTGGCCCAACAATGACTGGGCGAAAAACCATTCTGGGACTGCCCTCAGTCCAGGGCCTGAACTTTCTGCATCGTATAGTATGGCCAACTGATGAATTGGCCCCAACACTGACAAGATCACACTCTCGAATGAATGCACCAATCCTTGCGGACCATGCAAGGTGAGCACCAAGCAGCCAGAAGAAGAGCCAGGCAAACTTTGTTTCCAGCAAGAATCTACCAACAAAAAGTTCCCAGATATGCATCAATCGATCAACAAACCACCACCTTAGGTAGTCCCAGGACATCAAATTGATTTCCTCTGGACGGTATTTGCCAACAACAAGAACTTTGCAAACAACCACCATGATTGAGAAAGAAAAGGCAAATAGGGGGATTAGGAGTGGAAACCACAAAAATCTGGTCTTCAAGCACTCTTGGTCTTCAGAGATACTGCACATGATTGCCAGTCTTGCTGAAACAAGATAGCACGGGAGAATGGCAATCAACATCACTAGTGTGATGCCCAGGAAACCCAGAACTTGAACAATTGCCATCTCAATTTTGCTGCATTGCGACCTGGGACTGTTCCAATGAAAGTCAAAATGTTCATCAGCTGCTTTAGTAGGAAAGTGTCGGCCTTCTGATGTGACCAGAAACGCTTCAAGGTCCTTAGGAGTTGCAAAAAGTTGTGCAAAATTTGGCGGGAGCACCACATGCATCTGTTCCTCGACCTTGTTCCTAATCTCAGCACTCTTCAGCGATGTGATCCCATTCTCAACCCAAGTCTTGGATGAGTCAACCTCTGAACCAAAGACAGATATGATTGTATTGGTGTATCTGGTGGACAAGCAAGCCGGATCTGTAGCTTCTCCCGCTGAGAAAGGATCATTGGTGTCTAGAGTGTCTGCATCAACTTTTGCATTGTTCATCTTTCCCCACTGGTCAAACTTTGAAAGCCAGTATGATTCATTGGGTGCAGTTTCAACTTTGAACCTCGTTGAAAGCGGGGTGTGTCCAAGCCTTCGAGCCCAAGAGAGGTTCAACTTTCCAAAAACTTGAAGTGCACTTCTTGACAAGATAGACTTGGTGTAATGCTTTGAAGAGCTCATTCTCCTTCCCATGCTATGAGAAACCAAGTACAAACTAGTGAACCGGGAATACAAAAACGCTGCATCGGCATCTCCAACAAGGCTTGGAAGTAGCAACTTGGAGACCAACCAAGTAGATGAGTCAGGGTCACCAATCCCTAGATCGATCAGAATAGGGGAAATAGGAATGACGCAGGCAGTGAGATTTTGCACTCGTGGAGTGGAGTTGACATCACTGAATGAACCAACTTACATGATACTAAATGCATGTTCCAAGCAATGTAATGATCATTCCAGGCAGAAGTAGATTGTTCAAAGAGAACCATCTTGGATCTGGTTGTAGCTGTCAAAATGGGATAAGTTGCAAGAATCCTCCCAACCTCAGAATTGTCGTTGAGCCCATTACTCTGTTCAAGCCAAACAGCCTCCAGCACATTTATGTTAAACAGGTTGTTGATTCTTTCAAGTTGCATGTGGGTAGCTGGGTTCAAACTCTTTTGGATCATCATATTCAAAAGGGTGCGAACTGACCGGTTTTTTATCCACGTGAAGAATGGCAAATTTCCATACATTGAGTCTTTCTCCGGTAGGTCAAGCACCTCTTGTAGCTCCGCTGGAACTGTTAGAATACTCTGGCTCATGCTTTCCCACTCAGTGTCATTCTGCAGCTTTTGAAGCATGCACTCAGGGTTATCCATCATGTAGGTTGTCACCCATTGAAGGACAAAGATTTGGTGCACTATCTGCACAAGGAAATCTGTCAAATCATCAATCAAGATCCATTCTGGATTTGCAACAAGACCGTTAGCAAGCTGGCAGATGGTTGGGTGCTTGTCCTCAAGATGCTTCATGATTTGGGAGCACATGGCTTGCATTGAAGCTGTTGTCTTGATGGCTTTGGACCAAGCTTTATCAATGCCATAAACCCCAGAAAGATGAAGCTCCAAGAAGTACTCATCCAACTTGCTGGGGTTGCACTCTACAGCATGAACAGCTTCGACAGCCTTGCTGGGGAGGGTATTTGTTTGGCTGAGGTCAATGTCAGTTTCTGCATTGAAAGCTCCATTTGTCTTTTCATCTGAAGATGCTATGGTCCTTTCTAATATTGGGTGCGGCCCTTCCGCTAACTCATGTAGGATGGAATTTGCTGCCAGAATTCCACTTACAACAGCATCTTCATGGAGCATGAGACCCCGCGTCCAACCACCAGCAAAGTAGGTAGAATGCGTTCCTTGATGCTGCAGCAAGGACTTTCGAAGTCGGATAGCTTTGCATGTGACTCTTGTGTGTGTGAATGACATCGTTTCAGTAGGGGTCGCAAATTCCAACTCATTGAAGGTAGCATAGGCATGAGTTGCATAGACAGGGGTCTTGTTGTCGGTGTCTGTTAAAACATAAGAGAGATTTGAGTGCATCAGGTGCATGGTTATTCCAGCAGCCCAATGAAGAAATGACCTTTGATGTACTTACCACTTGCAAATGATGCTGTAAATGGGATTGTATCAGCACAAGAAGGCAAAGATGCTCCAAAGTCTGGGATGTTGGCAAATACTCCATCAGTCTTACTGGGAATTGCCCACTTTATATCTGTGTGGTACACAATTGTCTCTGATGGACAATCAAAGTCTGCTAGGGCAACTTTCACCAAGAACCTGCAGTGCAGCCACGGGAGGCACTGCCAGCACAAGTTTATCAAACTGCAGAATATCATTAACTCCCGTGCCAGTTGAGATGGAGACTCCTTTATCTCGGCAAATGATGCTTGGGGAACAGCCAAATTTGAAGTCCACACCTAGGCTCAGAAGTCTCTGCTCAAATGCAGCCATGTATTCCTTGTTGCGCAGACGGAAGACCATTTCATCTAAAGTTGACATGCCAATGGCTATAACATACCAAGCAACCAGGTCGAGTGGATAGTCAAGGAACTGTTGAATTGTATTGCCAGGAAAGAAAGTAATCATTCTTCCAAGGAAATAGGACACAACAAAGTGATGGTCAAATCCATTTCTGGCCATGTATTGCCCAATACTTTCCTCCTGGCCAATGCCTGACTTGTAGACAATGTGCATTTTGGCAAGGAACCGAGAAACTTCAGCTGGGTCAGCCTCTGGGATATTGGCTGTCCCCATCCCTACAACGTCTCGAAACTCACGAGCTGTTGCCAAAGGAACCAGATCAACACCAAGTTCCTTTGTCAGTGCCATGAGGTTTGGCCAAGCACTACCAAGGAACATTCCAAAGGCAGGATTTCGTTCATGTCCAAGGACTGTTGTGTGTCTGGCATGGCCACCAATCCGCTCATTTCGCTCGAACACAGTAACTTTGATTTTTCTTTGAGCCAGTCTGAGTGCTGTGATAAGGCCAGCAACCCCACCACCTACAACTGCAATATGTGGCTGCACTTCAAGGTTACAGTCAAGACTTCCTGTGGATTCTTTCATCATCTCGGGCACACTGCCAATGTCAAAAGATCCAAATGGTAGTGTCATTGATCTTCTCCTTATTGCATTGTTAGTTTCTTCTGTCAAGTAGAACTCACTGCTTGTAACCCCATTCATTGCAAAGCTGTGCTCAAGGAAAGAGCTCTTCTCAAAAGGTGATTCGTTTCCCTGGATTGGGGACATGTTTGCCTGTCCTTGAAATCTGAGGAGCACATCAGATGCCTTCCAATCACCACCAACTGTGGTCTGCCTGATCTCATTCCTCTTCAACTTGCCAGATGTGGTCTTTGGTGTTACACCCAACTTCAGAACAGCAGCATCAGAAACAAGAAGCCCGTGGACTTGGGACACATGGTTGGCTATTTGAACAGCCAAATCTTTGTTTGCTAACTTGTCAAACCCTTTTCGGCCTTCGACAGTTATACCAATGCTGTCATCTCCAAGCTGGAAAGCAGAGGTCCTTCCTGGTCGGATAACATTACCAAAAGTCTCATCAATAGATAGCTCTACATCAGTTGGATAGTAGTTCTTGCCATTGATGATGATGATATCCTTGACTCTGCCAGTGACATACACTTGCCCATTAACAATTTTGCCCAAATCGCCAGTGTCTAGCCATAAGCCCTCATATCCTGACAGGAAGTTGGAAAAGGTAGCCTTTGTAAGCTCAGCCTGGCCATAATAACCCGCAGTAACACGTGGTGATTGGGCCCAGATGCTTCCAACTTGCCCATCCTCCACCTCCTGTGCATCCTCAACAATTCGAATCTTGAGACTTGGGGAATCTACTATGCCACAAGACACAAGCCCTTCTTCAGAGTCTGTTTTGGCTGGCCCCCCTGTGACAAAGACCACCATCTCAGCCATGCCATAGATATTGTAGACCTGCTCAGGCTTGATTGAGAGAGTCTTTACCACTGCTTCCACAACATGGCTTTGTGCTGGCTCACCACCAAACATTGCTGCCTTCATGCAACTCCAGTGGGATTTTCTGTTAGCTTGCTCCAACCGTTTGAGGAGCAGGGCATAGGCAAAGTTGGGTGCTGAAGTATGGGTCGCTTTGTAAGTCTCCACCATATCGGTCCACAGCAGCGGTTTGGCAATAAAATCTAGTGGTGATGCCACAACCAGTTGACTACCAGTGTAGAGACAGGACATAAATCCTGTAAGTCCCATGTCTGATAATGAATGAGGAGGTAAGGGCGTAAGAGATATTCTCAGAGAAGTAGTCACGATAGCCACAAACCACATGCCACATGCCAAACCTACCATGATATTGCGGGACCCAAAGAGCTGCGACAGAATCTGTATTCAAATCAGTCAATGAAATGCCCGCCTTGCAGGTCTCAACTAGACTGTGGTGAGTGATCAAGACTCCTTTGGGACGACCAGTACTTCCTGATGTGTATTGGATAAAGCATACTTCATTTGGTTCTCCCTTGGACTTCTCATATTCTTTAGGCTTGTTAGGTTTGCGTTTCTTGATTGTCAGCTTGTCAGTCCCAATCCATTTAACTCCAGTTTTATACAGGACACTAGCTGCAGTCATGGCAGTGGCAAAAGTAGCAGCAGTGAGAGCATACTTGGCTCCAGCATCCTCGGCAAATCTGCGGAATTTGGGCATATCAGACTTGAGCTGGTTCGGATTGGGTGGATAGATGGAGCAAGGGATGACTCCAACCTTCATGGCACCAAACATGGCAGCCAAAAACTCGAGGCCAAAAGGGTAGGCCACCATGACTCGGTCACCCTTCTTGCATCCAAGTTTGAGGAGACGAGCAGCCACAGCATTGGACTGTTCCTCAAGCTGCTGGAATGACATCTTGTTTTCTTCCTCACACTTGATGTTGACCCAAGTAAAGACAAGCTTGTCAGGTGTCTCGGAGGCATGGTGGTTGAGGGCATCAAGGATGGTGGAGTAGAATTTCATTGTTGGTGCTGTTGCTGTTGCTGTTGCTGTTGCTGTTCTGTTGCTGCTTCTACTAAAAGCGTCGATGCTAGTAGCGTAGACGATTGTTGGGTTTGCTGTTGCCGAAGCTCAGTTTTATGTTGCTGTGTCGTCTCGATTCTACCTTCTCAGCTTGGCCTCTCAGACAATGTGTTTCGGTGACCATGATGTTTCTTAGACTGAGACTCGAGCGATGAATGGTGGTTAACCAACTGGCAACTGAAACATCAAACACACATCTAAGGAAATAAGGACGAAGTTTCAGAAAGAGACCAGAAGGAAAGAGAAGGTTAAATGAATCGAAGCTGCATTTTGAGGAACAATCGGAATCGGAAAGCCCATTATCCACGACTCCTGAGGTTTACTGACGTGTTGCAGGATGACTACCGGTATTCTATTTTAATAGCTGGCTAGTAGCTAGTAGACGCACAAGAAGAAAACTTAGGTACCGGTAGTGGGTGTCCTGTGTACCGCTTGAGCAGACTTACCCGATACCTGGTTGCTCATTTGCAACTGCACTATGAGCTAAAGTGTACGGCACTGCATGCATCCTTGTATTTTAGCTAGCTAGTACTAAATATGCATGTAATGGACGTACAGGGTACCAGGTACTCTTCTAGTATCACGTCATCACGTCTTTGGAGGTGAAAACCGGTTGCACATTACATGTATCGGAAGAACTCAAGGGTTCTTTTCTTTCAGTCTGCCGCACCTACCAGCTGATGAGCAGCTAGAGTGACTCTGGCTGCTCTGCTGGTAATGTTAGAGTTAGGGTTCACCAACGAGCTTGCCAGGCTTGTGGGGTTCCCATCACCATGGTTGCTTTTTGTTTTCTAAAAAGGATCATGATGTGTCGGTTGATATCGGCAGTACCATGCGGATAACAGCGAAAATATGTGGGGGAGATGTGTGCAGGAATGGATCCATCAGATGGGCCCAATAGCTAAGGGCATTCTCTAGTAGATTCGTTCGTCCTAATAAGTTTCGTTCTAAGTTGATTTTAGAACGAATTTTTGGGACAAAAGCAATCTTTAACTCAAAATCGTCCAATTTTTAGGACGAACTGAAAATTTGCGTCCTATTTCTCAAAAATACGACGAAAAAAGAAAAATAGGACGAGAATGAGTAGAGAATGCCCTAACAGCACGAGACTTAGTGGCCAGCCAATGGCACGCTGCCCCGATTCCGCTCAAAGGGCAACTGAATGCGGGGATCTGAAGTTTTCCCAGAGAATCCGTGGAAGCAAGAATTGGCGGCCGCCACCAGCCAATGGCACGTGTAGCCCCATCTGCGCTGGATGCAATCGTATTACTGCATTGGCAAGGACAAGCTTCGTGCCTCTGCTGTGCTACACGGACAACAAGTTGCATTGCAACGACTGCTTCATGAATGCCTTCCAGATCAGGTTCTTCTGCGAGGATAGCTTCCAGATCCTCAACCACGGCTCGAATGGATGGTGCATGAGTTAATCTCGAATGTAAATAGTATGCCAAGCTAGGAGCCAAAGAGATCGTGGACTCGGTGAACAGCCCTGACCAAGGTCTGCTACATGCCAGAAGCAAAGCCAGAGGGTTCGTCGCGTGTTGCCACAGACCCCACTTGCGGGAGAGGGTTCAGGATCGGGGAGAAGGTCGGGTACATGGTTTGTCCAAAAACCTGGACTCCCCCCACATCCGCCACTCCCCCACTATCGCGTAGATTCGCCACCGCCACAATACGATCACCAGTAGCGGAGACATCCACTGCGGATCCAAACCGTTCGTTTTCGGCCAATCCATCAATGTCATAATCCAAGCCCCCACTGGGAAGTCTCTCGATGGCTGTGGGAGCCCAGTCAGCCCCATCAAACTTGAAGATTCTAACATGACCGGTATTACTCAGTGCAATGCCGTCGTTGAATTGTGTTCCAATCACAAGAGTGGAACCGTCGCTGGATAGCCTGGTGCTACCGGCCATCCCTATCTCATCCGATTGGCCTTCCCCTGCAATGTCGCTGCATCAGTTTCACCAAGTTAGACAACTCGTGATGACCTGCCTCGACTTGACTCATCGCGATACCATTCCTGCCACGCAATTCCTTACCTTCCCAACTGTATCCAGTTGTCGCCAAGTATTGTTCTGACTTGCACTTTCCCCGAGTCCCTACCATTGATAGCGCTGCCAGGCGATCCAATGGCAAGTCTGGTGCCATTCTCATCGAATGATACTGAAGCACCCAACTCCTCGCCCTCAACCTGTCCAACCACAGCATCTCCAAATCGTCCAAAGTCACAAATGGTATCAGGGAGTGTAGTGTCTTCAAATGTGGTCACTCGACCTGCATCTGCCTCGTTTGAGCCTGAGTAGGAACGACTTCCCACAGCAAGTCTGCTCCCATCGGAGCTGATTGTCACTGAACTCCCAAAGCGGGAGCCATCAGCGTCTGCCAAAAGTGTGTCACAACGAGTGTATTCGAATCCTCCTGGGTCACCACCCGATGTTGGCAGCTGATACTGCCATATATAAGCGTCGACTTGTCCTGAGAATGATACCCCAGACACTGTAGCTTCAGAGGATCCTATGACGAGGTGATCCCCATCGGCGCTAAGGGCGATGGATTGGGATTGACCTGCAAATGGACTGATCTTTCCCTCTCTACCCAGACTGTTCCGTTTAATTCGAAAATAGTTACCCATACTCCAGCAACTGGTAGACTTGGTGGATTGCCCGAAGGATCCAAGCGACCACCGATGGCAACGACGGTCCCATTCGCATTCGACGCCAGTGCCCGCCCAAAGAAGTCTGATTGGCCCGCCCCTTCTAGCCGATAGTTGGAACCCTTAGGCGTCCACATCGGACTCGAACCACCCGCAGTGTCGAGTGCATAAATTTCCACATAACCCACCCCTGGAGCACCAGCCGCATTGTCCCATCTAGGTGATGATACAGCAAAAGTCAGTCCACCATCACTCAACACTGCGTTCGACAGTCTTTGAGTTGCTTGATCGCCGTTGATCTCTTGACCAATCTGTTTGTAGCCGCCGCCATCAGGGATGACGAGGAGTCGAGTCTTGGCACGCAACGACGCACGTCGCGAACATTGGTTGATCATCAGGAGGAATGAGGCTTGCTGCGCCCGGAAGAACCTTGGATCCATACATTGCTTACAACCTGTGGTCTCTCTGGAGTCAATGGCAAAGGCCAAAATTTCACCTGTTTTTGACAATAGCAATGAAGGGGAATACTACAGTATCGTTTTTTAAATGCAGGGAAGAAAAAAGCGATGGGAAGCAGGGGACCACCGACTGATCGACGGTCGACAAGGTCGAGATCGATTAAGCGGGGGGAGGTCGAGGATTGGTGGCAAAGGCGTAGGTTGCGGTTCATACAAGATGATAGTCAAACCAGTGAAACGACACACTATTTTAAAATTGGCATGCTTTTACTAACGGCAGTTGGAACCATTGAAGTCCAAATCCACCCAAAATGTGAGCAAGTAAAGTCACTCCAACCGGAGTTGGAGTTGGGGGGAATGGGCTTCCCCTCCACATCCTTTGGGTCAAACTGCTAGTTTGAGTTAATCTTCCGCTCTAGTCATGCTTCCAGACTGTGTCATTCTTCCAGATTACATCATTCTTCCAGATCACGTCATTCTTCCAGATTATGTCACCTTGTACCAAATTCTACGCGTTTTCATGTAGAGCCTGCCAGATTGTGTCATTCTTCCAGATTGTGTCATTCTTCCGGATTGTTTCATTCTTCTATTTTCAGTCATTCTTCCAAAAATAACCCCGGAATGTTACTCCTGTAACACACCCAGGGAAACGACCCCTCCCCTATGGAGGACAGACCTTCACTAGAGGAAATGCCCTCAGATATCGCCAGTCCCAACCGTGACAGGAAGGAAATACCCCCAAAACGAGTAACATGGATTGGTATCAGTTTTGCCACCTACATAACCTTAGCAAATGTTACGCCCTTTAAGTCCAATGCGCAAGTCTGCCAAGAGTTGCGCCCTAGTTAAGCAAGATGGCATCCTCGGATCCCTTTTTTGGCTCGTACCCTCACTGAAAAGGAAATCCGATACGATTTTCTCATTTCCACGCTACTACTATCTACTCTCACCATGTTGACGAATGGCAACTCGATTTTTGATGAGGAGGAAAATGAGAGTGATGATGAGCCACCACCACCACCACCACCACCACCACCACCAGATTCAGATGAAGATGGTTGGAGCTACCCTCGCAACGCCAAGCATCAGTTCTATATTAGCGAAATGATGAGTCACAAAAATGGACGGATCAACAACAAGTACCATCGGGGCAAGGAATTCACAAAGGAGGAGCTACTATCAGTTAAGCCCCACCATGTTGCTCGCTACTTGGAATGGAAAGCGTACGGCAAGGTGGCTCCTGGTCCTGATGATCGGCCAACAAAGTGTCGGGCTGGATCTTTGAAGAAGTTCAAGGGCGCAATTTCGTTCTTTATGATTAACAAGCGATCTGGCTGGATTGAGTTTCCGAATGGCCAAGCCGCAGGGAATCCAACTCGCTCTGATGCAGTCCTTGATGTGATCAAGAGAGTGGAGCTCCATGAAACTCGCAAAGAGGGCGTTGATCCAAATGATAAGCGCCCCTACAGCCATGCCGAATTCTTGAAGGTCCTGGAACTTTTCGGCCGCTGCCCTGACTTCAACCACAGATACAAGTATGTGACAATGACACTGTGGGCCAACCATTTGATTCATCGCATTGATGACACAGCGCACTTCAAAGTTGCTGCTCCTCATGGCAATAGGGAATTTCCATTCACAATCAAGACGAAGACATCATGGAGCAAGAATGTGAAGACCAACAAAAACTGTCCTGATCAGATAATGATGGCATCAATGAACTGGGAGACTTGTGTGATTCTTCACTTGAGCGTGTACCTGGAGCAGTGGCTGGGCATGTTTCCCAACGCCGTTTTCTTGTGGACTGAAAATGATGACGCAAAAAAAGGACCGAACAATGTCAAGAAGCAGTACTCCAGCCGAATCGAAATTGTCTGTTGGAAGGAACAAGAATTCAAAGATCTATGGGACGAGACAGGAGAAGATGCCGACAAAGGACTTGGTACTCACTCTGGAAGAAAGTATTACGCAATCAGAGCCAAGGAAGGAGGAGCAATTCGATTTATGGTGGAGTACCGTGGAAGGTGGATTGGTGACACCAATCAGAGGGTGGTCGACAAGCACTACTTTGGAAAGGATGACCCCTACACGGATGCACATGTGGCTGCCATTCAGTGCGAGGGTGGTGCTATTAAGTACAAACTGAAGGAGGGAATTGTTGTGGACGACAACTGGTTGTATTTCACTTGCATCCCTAACATCATGACTTCCAATCGATTCCAAGCAGATACAAGATTCTGCATGGTGTTATCGCTGGCAACACTCTGGGCAGCCTTTGATCCGGCTGCTTCTGAATATCTACCCAATGGTACGTCTTCCTGCTATTTACTTTGAAACTTTCTATGCTACAGCTATCTAACATTAAGTTCTCCCAATCAGAGCAACGCGACAGAATCAGAACCAACTTCAATGCAACCTTCCCGAATTTTGAGGGCAATCCCGTGGAGAAGATTCGCATCAAAGTAGTCAATGTCAACCGAAAGCTAGACATCATTGAGATTCAAGGAAACGAGGCTCAAGCAGAAGCTGGGGCTGCAGCCGGTACAGCGAACAATGCGGTCCAGGTCACACGAGAAGACTGGGACACTATGGTTGGCTACATACGCCGTTTGGAGCAGAGCAATCAAGAACAGTTCCAGGCAGTGAGGGCACAGCAGTCAGCTGACAGGCAATGGATGAAACAGCAGTTTGACAGGGTTGTTAATAACCAGAGGCGATTCGGTGGAACAATCGAGTCAGCTTTCCAGCGGCAAGATCCAGCCAGGCAAGCTAGAAATCGTCAACACGAACAAGACGAGAGAATGGTGGAACGGCAAGAAGAAGAACAGCGCCAAGAGGAAGAACAGCAACCAGCAAGAGCTCCACGGCAAGGTGCACGGGCACCTACACGCAGAAACAGGAATGTGCCAGCCACTGCACAACTGAAGAAGAATCTGGGCACACTACTGGAGCTGTGGACGGAGTGGTCCATTGGCTACTTTGGCAAGGCTGCAAAGGACTTTACCACCAATGAGCGCAACAAGGATGGTCCCACAAAGCAGATGTACATGAGAAGGAACAAGATATGGAGAGTGCAAGCCTATCTAGTCAATGCTGGCCACACTATTGAAGCTGCGAATGACAAGATCAGGACCTACTATCACACTGACAAGCCAACACCCTTGTACACGGTCATCAAGCTGGACCAGAGGAATCCACAACTCCGGTTCATTCCCTCTGGAATTAGAGTGCGCGATGGCATCCATTTGAACGGCAACGGGCCTCTCGGTAATGACCTTGGTGGCATACTCGCTTGATTGGCGATGCCGACCATCTTTGGCGGTCGTGTGGCCATGGTGGCGACTTCGCCATTTTTGTCATAGCATCTGAGATGCCTCAGACATAAGATATAGGCGACTTTGTGAGTAAGTGACTCTACGTACCCACCATGGTACATGTATGCGTATGTACACCTGGTACATTGTCTACAGTTACACTCATGGTATTATATTTGGTTGTTTCCTCCAAAGAAAACCCTAAGCAACCCGATTCATGCAGCTCTTTCGCCGTATCTAACTAAGGTGGAAGCGCCAGTGCAGCGGGCAAACAACTCTACAACTATTGTGCCAAAAGCATACATTAGCGCTCGCAGGCCGGAGATCTTTTAAAGATGAGGCAGCACAGTCGACACCGAGGCTGTCAATGAAGAGGGCCGTCAATGAAGAGCCCTGGCCGTCATTTGTGTGTAATCTGTACAGTGATAATCCGAGTGTTAGATAAACATAACTGCCCACAGAGGAAACTCAACAATAGCACATCGTTTAACCACTGACAATGTCTTGAAGATGCTGGATGCCTGCCTTGATTTCATCATCAGTAGGATCAGTGGTGTTGTCGGGCTTCAATGTAGGTCCATTTGGAGATAGCAGGAGTGTTAATGGTGAAGTGGACCGAGTATCTGTAGCCAAAGGACCGTCGAGTGGGATGACTTTTCTGCAGGACTCACAGTAATGAGTAGGTTCGAATATGGTTTGCTTTCCAAGAATCTCCTCCGCGAAGTTACTCAAAGACATCATCTTTGGAGTGACCATTGTATCGCAATCCGGGCATAACAAAGGAATAGAACACACTAGTGGAATACAATCAGCTGGCGGGATCGACTGCGATTGATTGGATGTGTTGGTATCATTGTTTCCGTGAAGATTGGTAGCCGGAGTTTTCGCGGCGATGTCTCCATTCAAATTGGTAACGGTGCTCGGAGAAAGGAGTGTGGTGATTGGCGATGTAGGTCTTGTGTCTAATGCCGAAGATCCTCGCAGAGGAATAAGTGTATCAGCAGTGGGAGTAGGATTGTTGTCTCCATAAGGTTTCGTTGGAGTAATCAAATCGATCGGTGCTGCCGCAGAGCCATCATTGGATTGAGTCATCGAGTTCTGTTCGACCGAGGCCGCTAGACCACAAGTATCGATTTGCTGATTGGTTAAGAATTGCTGAATCGATTTCTTCAGATGAAACTTGGATTTCTTCTTGTGTTTTGGAGTCGATGCTGTTTTGTTGTCATCTTCATTCTGTTTCGCTTTTCTGTGCAGGAGTTGATGCGTATCGATGTTGATGGCGGGTAACTCGTCCCTTGTGCCTTTTGTCTTTTTCTTTTTCTTTTGAGTGGACATTGGCGAGTGAACTGTCGTGGTGGTTGATGACTCAGTACTTCGTGTGTCGGTTGATGTAATTGGCCAAGTTTGATTTGACTTATTGCTGGTTTGTGGCAATCCTGTTTTAGTTGGAAGCAACGGCCATTCCTGTGGTTTGTCCGTTGGTGCTGACAATGACGGTAAAAAAAAAAATAATCTTTATAACGGATATGGCCCCAATGGACGGATCATCACTGTGCTGCAGCCGAAGCTTTGGGTAACCGCTCCCGGCCGAAGCGGGGATTGGTTTCACAGGAGACCACCACTGGTTCCGGTGAGGGAACCAGTGGTGCTGACAATGACGGTGGTTTGACAGTCGTAATCGTTTTGTCGCTGAGCGGCTTTGTTGGCGGGAGATGATCTTCGAAGCAACTGTTGGTGTGGGAGGTGATCTCACCCGGTTGTTGCATGTTCGAGTTGCCGGGGCTTGATTGACTGGTACGTTTGCCTTTACGTTGGGTTCGACGCTGTCTTGGGTGTAGGAGAGAATCAGTATCCCAGATCACCATGTTAGTCGTCTTGGCAAGAACTGGTAGTAGGAGCAACGGAATAATGGTGGCTGGTACACATTGATTGTTGCAGCGTTTGTTTTTCTTTTCGCGAGTAGGGGAAGCATTGCGGTTCTTGGTAATTCGTACATTGCTTCGAGGGGGGGTTAACGATTCTTCTTCAGCAGAGTCGCTTCCTGTAGTGTCCATGGTAGTTGTAGAGGCTGTATCTTCATCCGCGACTAGGTCATGACCATGATATTGGCGGAGCCAAACATCATCCTTTTGTGCGAGTATAGCAAAGGAATTTCGTGTGTTCTCGAGAGGAGCAGTGGAGGTATCCTGTGTATCGATGGTTGCCTTGTTGCGTGGTGTAGTTTTCCGATTGCGATAGACGCGTCGAAAGCCATCTTCCTGTTCGCTGGTGAGGTTGCTCATGTCATTGAGAGTAAAGGACTGGTCGATGCTGGTGGTCACTTGCTTCGTTTTCGATGGTTTTTCCATGGATTTCGCTACCGCCGATCGCTGTGCTCCTCGACCATGGGTATTGGATGCCATTGCTAGACCATTATTGGGAGTAGAAGCCGTCATTCGCTTGCGAAAAGAGGCACAAGGTGCCATTGTGGCTCTTTTTCGTTTCGAGCGGTAAAGAAACGGCCAGTTTACTATAGGATAAACAGTACTAATTTGAGAGTCAGTGTGCGTCCGAAAAGGGCGTTTCCAGTTCGCTTGGATCTGGAATTGTAGCATGAGTGGCCAAGAAGCAGCTTACACTGCAGCCCAGGAAGACATGGGCCGAGATGATCTTGGTGAATCAAATAGCACCACAACTCACAACAACAAATGGTCCCCCTTGCAGTGGAGAGATGGCGACCCTGGAAACAACCGCCTTTGTAAAGCAGCCCGCATAGCGATGTTCGACCGTCTCAGATATTCTCACCCCACAAGAGATTTTGCTACAAATTATTATTATGAGAAGTGGATCCTGGCAAATCACAGCAGAGGCTGGTACAACGATATATCAGCTCTTCTCGTGTTCTACAAACACTTCGAACCAGTGGCTTTGGTTGAAAGCGTGTATGACTTTTTGCTAAGGATGAGAAGTGATGGTTTCGATGTCAATGAAGAAGACTTCGACGGCGACACACTGTACTACGTACAGCATCGCGTCTACAAAGAGGAACTCCTTCGGCGTCCAAAAGAAATGAAACCACCGTGCTACCATACCTTGATGGAAAGCATTGATTTGGGCAGGTGGTGGTGTGACGACGAGGATACCAGTGATGACGATGCCAGTCATAGAAATAAACAAGACAGCGACAACAGCAGTGACGTGGAGAGCTCAGATGATTCAAAGGATGGTACTCAGCAAAGAGCCCGGCCTTTGTGGCGCCGGAGTATGATGGGAAGGCCCCCAGACACCCACCGAGGCGCAGCCAGAGAAGTCGACGAGAGCATTGCTCAGCGTATTGGGCCTATGTGGCGCAGTAGTAGAATGGGGAGGAACAAGTACCCCCGTGAGGAGACAGATGGTGATAGTTCAAAAGAGGGAGAGTCTGACAGTGACGAAATTGAATATCTTGGCACCTTCCCAGCAAGAACGCCATGAAACCCTCCAATTTTGTTTTCTTTTGTTGACTGTTCGGCCGTTGTTCTTATTTGTTTTGTCTGTCTATGCGGGAGTCCCTTAAATCCCTTAGTAAAAACAATAAACCCTTAAGGTTATTGTTTGATGACTCACAAAATGTTGGTCCCCCCCCGACCCTCTCATTTTTCTGTGGTTTTGCTTTGATGATGTTTTCCTGCAGAAAAACAGCTCTCCCCCGCTAGTCCACGTACTGTACACACCAGCCATGACAGGAGGACAGCTGGTTATTGGTCTTGCCGTTTACACAAACATGATGTCTTTTGATCGCTAGTTTGAATAGTTTTCGATGATGCGATGTTTCACGACATATCCTTTGCCAGCCAGCTGCTCGTATCAAAGATCAAAATCAAAATCAAAGATCAAAAATCAAGATCCCTAGAGAACTCTACTCCCGTAACAAACACAGATACAATCAGACAGGGCTCTCTCCAGCGTGGAAAGTTGTTAGCCTTCGCCATCAGTTGACTCAAGAAACGCCAAGCTAGAAGCATCGTTTTTACTCCACGCCTTCTTGAGCGTGGTCCCCACGCTCCCCAATGGCTTGTTTCGCCAGTTCTGGCCCAGAAGGCTCACAAAATTCTGAATTCATCCAGCCCATATCATCTACACCACAAGAGCATTCGAAGAAATGGACGATGATGCTCCAGGTGGATCTGGGACCAGCAGCGGTTCGACCAACGACCAAAGCACGGTAGCCAAGTCACAACCAAGTGTACCAAAGAAACGTCCAAGTTCAACCCACTCCCCAGCAGTCTTGCATCCAAGAAACCCAAGTCCAGCAGCAATACCCCCTCAACTTTTGTACAAGACCCAGTCCATTCAGATGAAGGAAGTGGCGATAATGCGAGTCGGTCTGACGCAGTTGCCAAGATTGTCAATGACCAGAACCTTGATGAAGCCAAGGTAGATGCCGTCGCAGAAGTCATTGGCGAAGACGGGAGTGAAGGTTCTGAGACTGCAGATGCTGAAGAGGTCAGTTATGAAGTGCCACCAGAAATTGTACTCGACCAGGAAGCTCTACGACTTGTAAACAACCCACACCCCCCCAATGACTGGGACACTGACAGTCAGTGCTCACTCTCAGATACGTTGGCCCCGATGCCCCCTATCGAAAACCTTCAATGGATTACAAAAGATGATTCTAAAGAAGAAAAGGCACTTCGCGATAAGTACAACGTTGGTAAACTGGCTCACAAACAAGCGCGATGGACTTTCCTGGAAAATTGGACCACTTGGGAAGAGCAAGACAAAGACGAGGCCGATAGTATGACATCTGATGGCAGTCTCCTACCAGTACGAACCGATCCATTGGAAGATCCATGGGTTCACCGCCACCTAGTGGGCAGCCAAGCCAACGAAAACCTACCTGAGATAATTTTCCTCCCAGCGAAAGGTGCCAGTGCTGTGGCCAACCCCGATTCTGCAGCGGCCGACCCTGATTCTGACCCAGACACAGATGAGGAGCCAGCTGAACTGTCCGATACCCCCACCAAAAAGGCTGCAAAGAAGGAATACTTTTACCCGCACGACCGGATTTTTCCAGATGGTAAGGCCCCCCCTGGTGTTGACAGTGGGCTCGTCCCTTGGAGAGGGACCCTTCTGACAAAACATTTGAGAAAAGTCCCAGTGGCTGGGAGGAACCCCCCTCTGTCGAGATGCTACAATACGAAAGTAGCGAATGGGCTTGAAAGCGACACTGCCAAGGCATTGTTCGGGCCAATTACTGGGGGCAACTCCATGGAGAGAGCAGCACGAGCTTGTAAAGCTATCAAAGTTCGATGGGGGCTGGTTCCGATGGAATACGTGGAGGGCATGTTGGTTTTTGGGGATAATAGAAGAACCATAAATGGGGTGCGGGTAAATGTTGGCAAGGTACCCAAACATATACTTCGACGCCCATCTCCCCACTTCAAGAAACAGCCAGAAATTGGCATGATTGAAGGCATTACCGATTTGAAGGTATACCTCGACAGTGTCCAACAGTCTGGGATCTCTCGAAAGTGCCGTGACGCCCGGATGCGACGGGATACAGCTTACAATTCAGCTTTACAGCTTTACAATTAGCAGGCTTATTCTAGAAAATAATCAATAACTGCTCACTTATTTGGAAATACAAACTTTACATCTCTTAGATCGTTAGATTAATCAATCCACAATGGTATTGTCGCATGGTAGCATGCGAGGTTATGAGATGTTACTCATTCTTATTCTTATATGTCTATCCCTTATGGTTGTCAATGGATTGCGCTACTCCTTGATGCAGATTGCTCCAGAGTTTCCTCTTGCACTCTTCATCGGTAGTCCTTCCCCTTACTGCAACTTAATTCCCTTGGATTCGCTCGTAAGCAATCCTCCTCCTGTTGGTGATTCGCTCGTAAGCAATCGCAACCATGGACTCCTACAGGAGTCCACCTTTCATCCTGTCGTTGATCGAAATCGCGATGAGGATTGGACTCGATCTCGATTCAACAGAGTTAACAGAATTCATCGAAAAATGATGTCCGACTGCAAATTGAAGGCTCCGCGTGTGTGTCATGCATTAAGCCATTCTTTATTTATTTCGAATCGCCTGAGTCATGCTTGCCTTATATCTTCGAAGAAAACTCCTCACTTTTTCATTAACTCGAACAACAACAACACGGAACGAAGATCCATCGCGATCGCTCGTGTTGTTGGTGTTGTGGCTGTTACTCCTCGGCCGATCCGACTCTTCTTATCTAGGACTGGCATTGGTCGTTTGGTGTGGCCTGCAACAAACTGGCTTGCAGTTTGTCGTTTGAACGACCACGATTGTACGGAGCGATTGAGATCGCGATCGATCTCCCGTGTCATTCGACTCTTCTTACCTAGGACTGAAAAAAGAGAGAAGATCCACCGTTTCGATCCTGGGTGAGACTTCCAACCTTGGCCTCAACAGTTTTGTCGATTGCTGCCTGGATGGCTTTGGCCTGGGAGGTTTTGGATCCAATGTGTGGGGCAGGCTCAAATGTTTTCTGGTTGATGAGGACCCGATAGAGGCATCCAAGTCATTCAAAGTGTCGAGTGCTTCCAATTGTTTGTTCCATAGTTGCTATCAAATAAGTTGATGTCACTCTTGACAACAAGCCAATGGACTTTGGATCGAAAGTATGGACATCCACATCCAAGAAGACCTGTTAGGGATGTGCTGGTTAGATCAGGCATGGGATCACTGGACATAAAGTTTATTCGAATCTCTTTGATGAGCTTGCTTGCATCTAAAACATACATGGACACATTCTCACCAGGGAACTCGGTGATGTCCAAGTGAAGTAGCTTGGCTTTTAGGGTCTCAATCTTGCTGTGAGAAGGTCTGTATATTTTCGGCAGAAGAGCCAAGAGAAGTTGGGGCCATTGTGTTTGGCTCGAGGAACATATGATTTCATTTCTTCCTGGATTGCATCAGTGCAAGAGTTCAAGACAGCCTTTCCCGACCAGGCTAGGTTGGTTAGATCATACTGGAGAAACAGGATGTTGCTGCAGATCCCCATTGGCATTGATGAGTCTGACCCATTGACTGTGAGGTCTCTGATTGCCATTTTTCCATCAATAGACTCTGAGACACTGTGCCAGGAGCAGTGAACATTTGTGATTTTATTAATCAGTCGTTAATATTTAAACGGTCTCCAACAACAAGGACTGAGACCCCTTCGGCATTCCATGCTCTGTTATCATACTTTCAAAGGCGACTAAGAGAGGCTAGACACATGAGACCCAGAAGCATTGGACTCAGTCAGAGTGGTAGAATAGTAGACTGGTGTGATTCCTTCAGTCCTTTCTTGCTATGCCTAATTCGATAGGCTGGAGTGTGGTGTGATGTTTCCAGATGTCGTCACCATGGAAACCACTGAGGCAAAGGGTGCTCTTGAGGTTTCCTTTCCCAGTCCATCTGAGCCAGATTCTGTCCATGCTCCAGTGTGGTTGATATCTCCAAGCCGAGGGGTTTTGTAAGCTTGGTCTTCTATTTGGTTTCCCAATGTGCGGAGGAGCTTCTGGAATTGAACTGCGGTACAATGTGTGCTGTCAGTCATGGTTGGAGGATCAGAGTGTGGGATGATTGGATAAGATTCAAAAGAAGGCTTGCTGAAGCCTTGTGGACTGACAAAGGATGATCTGGCGCTGCTGTGAAGATGAAGATGCTGAGGCAGAGGAAGCGTCGTCAAGTCCATCAATAATAGATGATGGAATGTGAGGCAGTGAAAATCAAAAGGTCAACAGTGCGCAATGGCAACAAGAGCAATGGCAACAGGAGGAGGAGAGCAGCATGGATATCATCAATCGAGTCAATCAAGTTGGAATTTATGAGCTTCCAACACTTCGAGTTGCTTGAGTTGGTTGTTTGAATGACAATAGCTTTAGCTTTGTTCGAATCGCTCGTTTGATGACACGGGAGATCGATCGCGATCTCAATCGCCCGTACAATCGTGGTCGTTCAAATGACAAACTGCAAGCCAGTTTGTTGCAGGCCACACCAAACGACGAATGCCCAGTCTAGGACCCCGGGGAGTTAACATAAAATTCACGAAAATGGGCTCCGACGCATATGTTAAAAGATCGAGGCTCGGCTTGTGTGCAATGCCCGCGAATCGTGCTTCGGCAGTGAATCCACCCCTTATTATGGATTTCTCGATATTGGCTCGAGTCATACTGCCATATATCTTCGCAAATTCTGTCCTACAGCTGTTTCCATGTAACTCGAACAATCAACAACACGGAGACGACCACCAACGATACGAGCGATCGATGTACTCGGCCGATCCGACTCTTCCTACCTAGAACT